TCAGTAACCAGAAGGCTCAGAGTGCTGATATTTGGCCTGTAGGATGCTGGGAGGAAGGGCTACCAAGTTTATTCAAATGAATAAAGCCCACTGTTTTAACGGCAGACTCACTGTTGTTAGAGTTTGGCTTGCTTTTTGTCAGATGACCGTTAAGGCCCATGGGCCTCTTGTTACTTGTTTAAGGTAAATCTGTCACGGAATCTTAGTAGCGAATAATAAATAGATCAAATGTAAATATATGCTCACTTAAAAATATAAAACTTTATACTCTGAAATGTTTGTTATAAATACATGTGGGGAATAAAGACACGACTTGTCTAAGTTTCAGGAAGTTATCTATAGGTTTACATGTTGACAAAGTGACAGATGGCACTTAATGTTGTTTCATAAAAGGATTCCATTCACTACTGACTCATACATATGCATATTATATGAACACTATATACATGTACCATACCTGTAACCCAATATGATGTAGTGATATCATTCAAATGGAAAATTGCCAATATACATATGTTATAGATTCATCATATGACATGTCTGACACATGAAAATGTAACAGATAATCAGAGGCCCAATGGCCTACATAACTGACCTGGTGAATGCTTTTTACAATTGCATTCACATCTCAAATCAACCTTTAAGATAAACCTAAACCTTTTTAACTTAAACCAACTTAAAAAAGAAGTATGCTTTTGTTTAATTTGACAAAAAAAGAATTTCAACAAATATGATCTCTATGACACTGAATATGGTTCAAATTCATTTCTTTTTGTAAGCTTTGTTGGTCTTCATTCAATGAGCATTTTAGCCAAATATCGCAATACTATACATATGAGTTAAATAGAACAAGTTGTTCGTGTGTTTTAACAAATTTAATCTCTGCGACCTTGAATATAGGCCAAGGCCAATGCTATACAGGGTTAGTTGATTAAGAAATTGTTTGAATGATTGAACAAATTTGACCCCTGTGGTCAAGGTCATATATTTTCTGATACTTGATCAGGATTAATCCCAACAACCTCCAGCCAAATGCCATGATTCTATGCCTGTTAGAAGCCCAGATGATGATGATGTGATGATGATGATGATGATATATGTGAGAGTAACATGACGTCAGAGGAATTGTTGATAACTGATACATGTATTGGTAAATTTTAATGAATGTTATAGACAGCTATTCACGTGATGTTAACACGGACACTGAAACCCTGTTCATGGAAGAGACTTTGCAGGGAAGGTCAGCTGTAATGTTGACAAAATCAGGTTTTCATTGTATGGTGGGATTTGCACAATGCACACCAGCACCCCAATCGGTATAAACATCAGCTAGGCTTCAGTATAGAATGGATATCAAAATGAGCGACGAGAAGGACGGAACTTGTTAGCTACCAGTGACTTCTAATTTGAGAAATTCAAAATAAGCTCTGTTCTTCAAGGAGGGAGATATTATGGACTATAAAATAAAAAAATGAAGAAATATCAGAGTTTTGAAGAAGAGATAAATATCCCAACTTACTAGAACTATCCATATTTTCTGCGTAAAAGGATTAACTTTAGACCAAGGCTTTGAGGTTGTCATGAATTCATCTTTGACTTATGCAAAAAGACAACAGTAAATAAAGACATGAATTTGTGCCGAGAGTTGACAGTCACAAGCATCATGAAGACTGCAACAATGGAATGAAAAGAGTAGTCAAAACAATCCTATACTCTTAAAGGACGATCAGTATTCTTAATTCAACAGATGCTTGAGTAGCAGATATTGTTTTGCTGTCCTATAAGAAAAAGAAGCGAGTGGCAGACTGAGAGCAGACAAAACAGAGAAGATTGTCTGTCAGAAGGAAGGAGACCGGATATAATTTTGAGTAAATATGGACTTGTTCTAAAGCAGAGACGACAGAAATAGAGTCTCTCTTTGTTTGATAAGTAGTTGCTTGTATTAAGTCAACGGAAAGAAGCATTGAGTCCCCTGGATAGACTGATAAAGAAGAAAACACGGAAGACGATATCTACATAGAGGTTTGCGTCCTCGCAATAGCGAAGCTCAGAAATGTGGAACATAACTCTTCTAACATAGAGTTCTTCCCATACATTCTCTGTTTTGTAACATATGCTGATTGTTCTACATCCGAACACGTTTTATTCCACTTATAGAATCGCATCATGGGATAGTGATTAAACATCATACTGTACGCTCACGCAGGTAATTTCTTCCCACACGATTGACAAAATTTCAATTCGGTTTTTACTTCTTCTCCCCAGACTTGTCTGTTTAATTTTACTTTGCGACTACAATTGTGGCAAAACCCTTGATTTGTATAATTATGATTGTGACATCTGGAGCATTCCATTTTCCTGTCAAAATAATCATTACCAAAATAATTATTTGCAGGTGACATGCTACCAATTCATATATATCAGCATAACGGAAATCGCAATTTTATACCCACTAACTTTCCATACTGGCAAGTTATACGACTAGACCCTTTGTCTTCCCTATTAAAAATATTGATTTTTTTCCCCATTGATTTAATCACGGACTTTATATGTATCTAAATCCGTGATTTAATACAAGCTGAAATGTATTGTGTATTTTCAAAAAAAAGTAATTTTGTTTAATTTGAAGTGAGTTAAATAATTCATTTTAACACATGGTATTCAACAATGATTTGATCAATAAATGTGTCATAATTATACAGTTAGTATAACAATAGAATGATGTAATTATTTACTTCAAATACTTTCACAAGATTTCGTCTCTCCTCGTGCGAGGAACGACAACATCGGTAGAGATTTATAGCGTCCCTGATCACAAGAAAAGAGTTACTGCCCTTCGTCCGTATATGACACTTCCGGGAAATCGACCAATCGAAATCTTTGTTAGGGAGAAGAGGGTATTTTGAAAATGTCCGACAGCAAGACGAGAAGCTAGAGACCTGCGAGTAAACAAATCTTAATGAAGTACTTTTCATAGGTAATCAGCACACACAGCATTTGAACGTTCGCTTGAAAATCATGACGGCTATGATATGAAATATTTAACGATATAAATAAGTTTTTAAACATCTGCATTATATAGCCTAGCATCCCCAGGGGGCACGCGTATGTTTGTGTACATTTCGGATTTCTTTAGATTTGCATACCAGTATTGAGATAGACTTACTCGTTAATTATGTCATTTTAGCTAAAGCACGTCTGTTGTCGTGTGCCTCAATTGATATATCTTTTGACTTTTTTAAAGCAGGAGTGACGTTTTATCGATACGGGTTCTGATTGAAATAAATAAAAAAAAATCCTGTACATGTATCTGTATCTGTATCGGTACGTTGTAGATCCCGTTTCCGGTTTTAATACAACGGATGAGAGAGTTAAGGATGCCCGAGGGCGCCCTTGAAAGCCTCCAATGTTGGGGCACATACTATTTTGTCATCCACGAAGAAAGAGTTCCTGTACTGTTCACAGTTGTGTGTTGGTACTGTGTAGGGTTTTGAGTTGTTGGTGATCCTTTTTTCTACCATGTTTGCTGAGATGTAGCTGTCAAATTTTTTAGCTATAACATTTCTCCTCTGCCTTTGTTTTGCAAGGTGATTTTCTGGGGGTATAGATGGTAGTAACCCCTCCACTACTTTATACATAAAGATCACTCTTTGTTGCGCGCACCTTGTCTGAAGTGATGGAAGCTTCAGGTCCTCCAGCATCCGAGTGACACATCCCTCCTCCCTTGATCTATAGTCATATTTTATGAATCTTGCCGCGAGTCTTTGCACTCTTTCAAGTTGATCAATTTCTTTTTGATTATAGGGGTCCCAAATGATAGCACCATATTCCAAGATTGAACGTACGAGGGAAATGTATGCTGTTTTTTTACATGTCTTTGGGCTGTGTTTAAGATTTCTTTTAAGGAAGCCAAGGGTTGAGCTGGCTTTTTTTGTGATGTTCATTATGTGTGTGTTCCATTTGAGGTCTTCCGAAATAGTTAGTCCAAGGTAGGGGTTAGTCTTTACTTGTTCTAAGATCTCGCCATTTAAGGTGTAGAATTTATGGCTCCTCTCTTTGATGTTCATGACGTAACATTTTTTGGTGTTGAATTTCATCCCCCACCTGTTTGCCCATTGCTCTAGGTTGTGTAGATCATGTATATATATTGGGTATTGATAAAACGTTAGCCTGCAGCTGAATTTCATTATGACAGTAAAAGCGTATGTTCCAAATATTCTTTTTAAACGACCCGTATATGGGTAGTCTTACATTATCAATTAGATTATTACCCAAATACAACATCACCTGAAATAGAAACAAGCTAAGTTCTTTTAAACATTAGCAACAAAAAAGGCAATCTTGTTTCTCTTCATAGTTTATGCTTTTATTTGATACCCATTTTCAGCATTTGTATAAGATTTATGGCTTTTATTAAAAGAAAGCAAAAATTAATTTTTCAGTTTATTCACATGGTAAATATTGCATCAGTAAACACAGAAAACAAAAAAATATTTAGTTTATGCCATGTTTGTATCAAACATAAACACTACATATAGTTGTGCAATTATGTTGACTATTGCTAGAGTGAAGAAACAAAAGAAAGAAAGAAAACAACAATTGTCAGCAGCATGACAAAAAGAAGAGTTAAGATTCAACAAATTGTTAATAATTATCAAGGAATGATGCATAAGTGTCAAATAAAATAGCCATGTTTGAATGGGGAAAACAAACAAAATTGATGTTTAATTGGCCAAGGGTCTGTCTTGTTCTTATTTTTATTGATAGAAATTGAACATAGAAGCATTTTCAGACCGACATTCAATTATTGATCATTATATCTTTGATGTACTAATTCTTTGAATATACCAGATGTTATGTATGCACAAAATCATGTGCTTTTCCTGTACCAATCTAATATTTTTTTTTTTTGTGTTTCAGAAGAAATGTGATAAAACAAAAATCAAACAAGCTCATTATTTATGACTGACTTGTTTTAATGTGAATCTATTAATGACAACATGACACTGGGGCAGAGGAAACATATGCCAAGCTATGCTGAAGTGGTGGCCACACCCACTCGCAAATCTACAGATTCATCAAAGTCATCTGGTGTGGACAATAAGGTCAAGGTTGTGGTGAGAATCAGACCAGAGAATGCTACAGAGCGTGGAGGTAATTCACGGGTAGTAGTTAAGGCCATGAATGAAAACGTATTGGTGTTTGACCCCAAAGAACAGTCTTCACCTGGATATGGCCATCGAAATCGTTGTCGTCGAAGAGACATTAGGAAAAAGCAGTGTAAAGATTTGAAATTTGCCTTTGACTTTGTGTTTGACCAGAATTCAGCAAATCACAATGTGTATGAAGAATCTACAAAACAAATTTTGGATGGGCTGCTAGATGGCTATAACTGTTCAGGTATTCATTTAAACTTACCTTTATTTTTATTTTAAGACAATAAACATACAAGAACTTGGAAGTTTTGTTTTATCAGTGAAATTTTTACGTCTTATAATTAATACAGGTGTAATATAACTGTACTAGTCTGTTCCTGAAATAGAAATTGGTAATATCTGAAATGTGATCAACAATTTTTTTGAAATATCATTTGATTTGATACCATAGATTCTATGACTTTTCAATTTTAAATGTGAAAACAACTGTTACTGCATTATTGAACAAAATGTATATCATTTGAAAGGCTAACAAACTGTTGAGTTACTTGGTAGCCTATGGTTTCTCTGGCTGCTACACCAGAAAAAATGTTTCAAGAGACAGATGTCTAGAAACTCTGGCTAAATTGTATTTACCCTGATAGAAGTTGTTTTGTTCGATCAATGCTCTATCCATTCACTGAATGTGTAATTGTTTCAGTGTTTGCCTATGGAGCCACAGGAGCAGGCAAAACTCACACAATGCTAGGAAACCCAGAACAACCTGGAGTCATATACCTTACAATGATGGACTTATACACACGGATAGCAGCCATACAAGAGGAGAAAATTTGTGATGTTGCTGTGTCCTACCTTGAGGTAAGTCTTTTTACTGTAGGTTGGTGGCAACAAAGTGTTTTTAGTAGGTGCGTGTATCATAATCTATATCTCGGTCCTTAAGTTTTGTGACATTTTCTTTGTCAGAACATGCATTTCTTCAAAAAGGAATTTTATGAAATGATAAGAAAAGATTGTCATGCGTTAAAATTTTTCAATCTGATCAGTCATACTGTATACAGTCAGAGGCAATTTTTGCTGAAGTTTAACATTTGCCAGTTTATCCTTTTGCCAAAGGAGCTTAAGTAAAATTGGGTTAAACTTTGACGTTCAAGCTGCAAATCAAGAATGGGTAAAATACTTCAACCAGTTTTAGGCTAGGGTGAAAAAGCCACAGGGCAAATACTTCCCTCTTATTACTGTATTACATCCCTATGTATTGGTGTAGAATTAGAGATTTGAAATTCAAATGAATGATGTAACAAGCTGTGATTATTTAATGTTTAATACATGCACATCCATAACCAATATACTATTTACTGTACAGGTATATAACGAACAGATTCATGACCTCTTGGTCAAGGGAGGTTGTCTGCCAGTCAGAGAAGATTCTAGGAATGGAGTGGCTATATCAGGACTTTCTCTACACACGGTCGGTAAAGTCAATACATAATAACATATAGTATATTATTATGTGAAAGTCTTCCTTTTAGCCATTTACAAGTTTTCTATTTCTATGAACATTAACAATCTTTCTGCATTTGATGTGTTGTGTCATAAAGATAAATTCAGTTTCTGTAAAGTCCTCAAGGGCCTGCCAAACCAAAATTTACAAAAGAGCTGGTTTACCACAATTCATGTCTTAGTATTAATTTTCAGGTCATACAGTTATTAGGTATTTTAAGATTGTGTAAAAATGCAATATAGAACAAAATCTGCAGTCAATAACATTCATATATGATCGTAATATAATGTACTTTTTGTGACATTCCAGCCAAGGGATGCTCAGGAACTCCTGCACATGCTGCACTTTGGAAATCAGAATAGAACACAACATCCTACAGATGCCAATGCTGAATCGTCACGTTCACATGCAGTCTTCCAGGTGATGAGTGAAGTCATGACATGATTTGTTTGAATGATACATACAAACACCCACCTTGTACCCATCAGTTTCCCTCATTTACATGTTTATCAGATGTTTACAATTCTTCAATTACATATATTGTGGATATTAAGGTTGAAGTCTTACTGTTATTGTTAGTTTGACTCAAATGTCTAAGGCCCATCAGAGGTTATATTCCAGTAGTAGTACAATTCTAAAATTCAATAATTTCCTAGACACATATGTGATTAACTTGTTGTACTTTGTGTCAAGGTGTTTGTGCGACAGCGAGATAGGACAGCCAACATCTCAACAGAAGTCCGTGTGGCCAAGATGTGTCTAGTGGATCTTGCTGGTTCCGAGAGAGCTACAGTTACAAAAAACTGTGGAGCTAGGTTTCGTGAGGGTGCCAACATCAATCGATCTCTTCTGGCTCTTGGAAATGTCATAAATGCCCTTGCTGACACCAAGGTAACACTTTTTGGGTTAAGAATTAATTATTAGAGCATTTCAGTTTATTAGCAGAGGATTTATCCTACAATAAACATGGCCTGGTAGACACCATAAAGTTAAAAACTGAAAAGTCTAAATTTTAAGTGATTCAATGGTAGACACTTTTAATTAAATATATAATGAAGTAACATTTGTGATGAATTATCTCACATTTTATGTCTGTGATAAATTTCAAGTGCATTATGCACAAGAAGGAATTTGAATAAATTGTGATGTCTTGTCTTCTTCAGTACAAAGGTCATGTGCCTTACAGAGACAGCAAACTCACCCGACTGTTGAAGGACTCCCTGGGTGGCAATTGTCAGACTGTGATGATCGCAGCTGTCAGGTGAATAACTGAGTTTGTGTACTAGACTTCTCATGCTGGCTATAGTGGTTAGTAGTCAGTGATAGAAGGCAAGCATTTAAAGGAATGCCTTATTGTGCAGAATATAAACTTTAGATTGTAACACAACTTTTATGGTATGATTTTAATTGTGACTCACTCAGTGTAAACTTAGGTATACTTATATGGGTAAACTTCTTCTGTTTGCATTCAGCAAGTTTGTTCATGTAAAGACTGGACATTGAGTCTTATTTTGAAAGTTGATGCACAAGTCCATGTTTAATATTTATATATCATATATATAATTTAGATTAATTTGAAAATGTAAACAAATTGAATTTTTGATGATGCAGTATTTTGATGAAACTCCTTTGATACAAATATCAAGTGTATATCTGAATGAGATGTTGTATTCCTCTATTTTCTTTGTAGTCCCTCCAGCTTGTCATATGAGGACACATACAACACTCTCAAGTATGCTGACCGGGCTAAACATATACAGGCTCAGGTTAGTACACCTGCCATATTAAGAAATACAAAAAGAAGGTGCAATAGGGTTATGTCTGGATGACTTTCCAATTAAAAAATGAAGGAACTGTTGTGTGGTCATCAGCAGCAGGGATTATCTTAACTTGGTCTCTTCCTGGAATATTTAGATCATGATTTAACATAAGTATACAGACTATGTAGTATCTTGCTGGATTTGTAATTCTATAGGATTCTGTCTGGGTGTAGGCCTAAATTTGAATTTTTTTTCAAATCTTTGTTGCATTGTGGATAACTTGAATGATTAGCTCCAGTATGACTGTTTTGTGGAGAATTTCTAATTGGAAAGTGTTCTTTGACATAAAGCATAGGTATATGTATTAAAAAAAATGAAAAACATGCAATGAATATTGATGATTTAGGTGCACCTTTCAGAAAAATAAGAAGATAAGAAATTATGAGTTTGTCTATCATGAGGCTATTTTTAACATTATTCAGAGGGAGAAATAATTATTTTACTCTGTTCCTACCTAACTTGAAAAAATTGAAAGGAAACAAACTCTTTTTCTCAAAGATTGTTACATTAAAAAATAAAACCAAGTAAAACATGATTATTGCAGCTGAAGAAGAATGTTCTGAATGTTGACTTCCATGTGGCTAGATATGGTCAGATCATCCAGGAGCTCAGGAAGGAGGTAGGTGTCATGGTACTCAGAACTGGTAATGATGTCAATAAACTGACCTAAAAGTATTGATGAAAAAAGAGCTCTTTTGAAGATCGTTTGGAATGAATTTCAATTGATGCCATCTTTCAATATCTGTATATTATAAAACAAACTATCTTTAAATATTTTTCTTTAAGAAAAAACTTGTTATAAAATTAATTGCCATTTAACATCATAGTTTAATATTAATGTTGACAGATTCTTGAGCTGAAAAACAAACTTCAGAGCTATGAGGATGGCAAAATGGTTACAACCCAACAACTGTGTACAGTGCCCAATACAGCAGTTACCAGGTATGGTATCTAATGTCAAGGTCACAAAGTATGGTATCATATGTCAAGGTCACAAAGTATGGTATCTAATGTCAAGGTCATAAGGTATAGTATCTAATGTCAAGGTCACAAGGTATAGTATCTAATGTCAAGGTCACAAGGTATAGTATCTAATGTCAAGGTCACAAGGTATAGTATCTAATGTCAAGGTCACAAGGTATAGTATCTGATGTCAAGGTCACGCGGCATAGTGTATAATGTCAAGTTTATAAAGTATGGTATCGTATGTTAAGGTAACAAAGTATGTAATATCAAGGTCACAACGTATAATATTTAATGTCAAGGTTACAACACAAGGCAAATAATTTATTATGAAGTTCACAGGGTACACAAAAGTTCAGATAATCTGAATAAGAAAAATATTATTGTATATGTCACTAATATCAAGGGTAACAGATACAACAACTTACGTCCAGGTCATAAGGTACAGTATTGATGGTCAATGTCAAATATCAATGTTATAAAGTACATAAAGATATTTCAAGGTCAGCAGTACACTAACAAATATCAAGGTCATATGATTCTTTAAAAAACGGTCATCAGGTACACTGACAATTGTCAGTATCATAAACTGTATAAGCAAATTCAAGGTCATGAGGTAAGCATTGTTATTGTCTATCAAGGCCATTGTATTAGATGATTGCTTTTTCACTAATATCTATTATAAATAAATGTTGATACAAAGATGATAAGTTTAATGTGATACTCCTGGGTATCGTTACATATCATATCACCATGATTGTCACTAGATATGTCATGATGGATCTGTTGTCAGTGTGCGAGACAGTGAGTATGATATCATCAATGGCTTTTGAATTTTCTGTCTAGTGTTTCAGTTACACAAGGTTAAAATATCAATTTTGTCTCTGAAACACATAATACAGAGTGCAGTTTTTGGGAACAGTCCTCACTAATTATCAAACTGGCATCAATGCTCATTTTGATGAAAATATGACAGTAAAACAACACATTTTAATTTGTCTCCTGTTTAGTCTATAGTTACTCTTTTTGTTGCAGGTTGAAAGAAAGCATGGATGAAATTTTCTTCTCCAGACTACAGATATGTAGAGAATATCTTGATTCTGAGCTGAAAAGTCGGGACATGAAGTGGAAAATTAGTCGGAAGGAGCGTTGTCTGGCTAGAATGGCCTGCTTTAATGGTTCTCAGCATAATGGGGTATGATTAATCTACTTTGTTTTATAGCATTGTTGTATTGACTCATTTTGATAAAATATTAAAGCTTGTCAATGATGATTTTGACAAAGAATATGTTGTATTGCAGTAGCAAAGTTATATGACTACATAATGTTATATTACCCATTATTACAAAAGTAATTTGAAAGGTTTGTAATCAGGGAGTTAACATTGCCACGATTATTAACATAGTACTTTTTTAGCAATGAATTTTCACAGACTTGTCAAAATCATGGATTCTTGTTTTGCAATGTTACACAGTAAGAAAAATTACATCTGCATGTAATGTGTTAGAAGTTACAGGTTGGGACAATTATAACTAAAATATTACCTATTGTAGACAAAGGACAAGATCCAGAGAATGATACACTCAGCTCAGGAACGGATGACAAGTTTTGTCCAGATGAAGGAGGATAAAGGTGTGAGACTTGCAAAGAGTAACCATAGTCTTGAGGGACTGAAGTCTGCTGTCCGAGACCATACAAGTGCAGGAGAGGACAACCTGGCTACAGAGGTAAGAAAGCAAGTTATGGAAAGGATTGGGTGGGTGCAGCTTGAGAGGCTATCTAGAACAACTCACAATGGGTATAACGTGACTACAGAGCCGAGCTTGAGAGGCTATCTAGAACATCTAGAACAACTCACAAATGGTATAACGTGACTACAGAGCCGAGCTTGAGAGGCTATCTAGAACATCTAGAACAACTCACAAATGGTATAACATGACTACAGAGCCGAGCTTGAGAGGCTATCTTGAACATCTAGAACAACTCACAAATGGTATAACATGATTACAGAGCCGAGAAGACAACTTCAAGGGCGACATCTAGGGCAATATACACAGGGAACACTGGATAGTCTGGCTTCAGAGATAAGGGAGGTAATTAGAGGGTAATATCTAGGACAATAAACACAGGGGACAAGGGGCAATCTGGCTTCAGAGATAAGGGAGGTAACTTAGAGGGTAATATCTAGGACAATAAACACAGGGGACAAGGAACAACCTTGCTACAGTGATATGGGTGCAAACTCAGGGGGTAACATGAAGGGAAATTTGCACAGGGACACGCTTGCTATAGATGTATTGTAAAAAAGTAATCTAAAGGGGGCAATGTCAAGGGAAGGTTAAACAAAGGGATAACTTGGCTGCAGGTGAGTTTGCACACTTAAGGGACAATGTATAGGCAATTTACAAAGGAGACAATCTGACTGTGGGTAAGGGAGCAAATGTAGGGAGTGACATCTAGGAAATGTACACCTGGAACAATATGGCTATAGAGGTCAGGAAGAAATGTCTAGGCAATTAACACTTGCAGAAGTGTTGGTATTGTGAAACACTGGTCTAATGTGTTGAATAAAGTCATTTTAGATGCATAACAGATATTAAAAGAACCATTACTTTATAATTATGTACTAAAAAATGTCCTTCTGCTTCTTGATTATGAGATGGATATAAAATGTTTTTCTGAAAGTTTTGTATAAGCTTGTTTATCTCTTGTAATGTGTCTGTTAGAGATATTTGTAAAGCTTAATACATTATCAAATCCTGAACTTTTATCTTTTGAATGATTGATCATAAAGCTATGTTGTATTACAGAACCTGAAGTTGAATCTACAGTTCCATGAGTCAAGTCTGGCCCTGACAGAATCTCAGTACTGTATGAAGTATATGGCCAAAGTGGTTCGGTCCCAGGAGCGGGAGATCTCTGGTGCAGAGAGGTAAATTACCGTAACTGTTAGAAATGTAGTCTTACTATCATCCTGAATTATATCTTTCACCATCTATGCTCTGAAACAGGGAGGTAAGACACTGACCTATGTACTGTGCACCAGTGACTATGTGAGAATTGTCCATTCAGATATTAATAAAACACTTTTCTTTTTTCAGGTTAATATTACATCTTCTCAATATGGTGAAACAACAACATTGTATCCTGAAAGGTCATGACCTCTTGACCCCTAACCTGGACTCTCAGTATCACACTATAGAGACCATAACAGAAGGTCGTGAGGTGACCTTTGCAGACCAGAGTTTCTCGGATCAAAGCAGTGGCTTATCTTTAGGGGAAATGTTAAACTTCAGGTCATTACCAGCAGGTTTGTATTAAGTGATATTTAATCATTTCTTGTTTAAAGTTGTCAAATACAAAAAGACTGAAGGTAATATCAGGATATTTTTTGTTACCAAAAGCCTATTAAAAACTCAAAGATCATAAAGAGGATGATAAGTTTTAACATGTTCATATTAATAATTTTTATTCTCAGTCCTTTATGTGATTTCTCATACTGTATATTGGACATTTTTCACTTTTTTTGTCCATGTTCAGGGAGGATATATTAAAGAGGGGTGGGGGGAGGGGGCGGGGGGGGGGGGGGGGGCGAAAATTTGTTACACTTATGCAACCTTTTATATCATCAACAGAGAGTGAACTGACCATGAGGCAAAATCATGTATAATGGTATAAGATTGAAAATAACCTCAGGCGAAAATATCCTGGAATACAGTTTAAGTTCCTATACATGAAAGCAAGAACTATGTCTGACATTCTCCTTTCCTGTTTTCTATACCAAACATTACTGTGTTTCAGCACAACACATGTGTGAGAACAGCACCCATGTAACTAGTCAGTCGTCTTTGTCAGTGACCAGCCATTCTTCAGTAACTGATCACACCACGTCTGCTCAATCGTCTGGGGTTAATCTCTCATCAGCCTCCTTGTCATCCACCAACAGCTTGTCAGCATCTGTCAAATCTTCTGTGACATCTGAGACAGTATCGTTAGAACTGGATGCTCCACAGGGTAAGTATTGCATTGGTAATAGGGCCATCCTGTTTATTAATAGTAAGGATACATGTTTACAAACAATCTGGGGCTCAAATCAAAAGTTTTAAGTATAAAATTAAGATGAAAGAAACAGAGACACTTTATGGTGAAATCACGGTACAATTTTCTTACTGAGTCTTTTTTGTGTGATTGTGTTTATATATCAAGTGTATTACCTTATGAACATTGACAGTTTACACAGAAATATACACTCACAGAGGTTAATTATAAAAAGAAAATCCTTATCTGTTGATCAACAGCTGGATATGCAAATTTTTGCGTCATATATGATAACGTATACACACAAAACAGTGTCACCTGTAAAAAAATGTCTTCCTACCTGGATTGGTTATGACAGTGTTGGTGATTAATGCCACTTATTTCGTAATTCTGAATTGAATTGAGTTATCAAATAACATTTGCTACACCCATAACTAAATCTGATGCTGAAAAACAGGATTTTGCTTACTGTGTCACTTCTGTCGCTGTCATTTCTGCCCACCATTATGTAAGTTTGTGTTTACAAAATGAACTGCCTCGTTTTCAAAACTGTTGTAACGTTATCAACGCTAAATTTGAGAGGGTTTCCCGAACCTAAAGTGGTCAAGCTGGAGACTGGAAATTGACTGAAGATTGGGATAGCATAGATACATAAAGGGAAACGTATAAAACATTAAAAAATTAATGTTTTTATCTTGTTATCCCTTAAAAATTCATTTATCATTGAAGAAAGTAACTGCTAAGGCACTCATAAAAAACCAACCTTTTTTTTGGTCTGGAGGGCTCTTGTGTTAGTAATCTTTGCTTTTGAAAGATATATTTGATTGAATATTGATTATTGGTGTAGGTACTAGATTGTTAATGAACACCATTACAGACACTTCTGTTTTTGGCCTGAGGATTTCAAAATAACGGTAATATGTAAAGCATCATTATGAAACTTTGTCTCTGTTACAGGACCACACAGAGTGCCGGTGACTGGCAGGAATGTCCAACCTGTCAGGGTTCCTCGAGACCAAACACAGTCTGAACGCAGAATGTTCCGACTTATGTCTTCAGACACAAAACCTCTGCAGTCAACAGTATCTAATCACATAGACAATGGCCGTGTGTTTGTCCCTCTCACCTCAAATACACATTGCCCTGAGGTTTTCTCAGATACCCCTAGTCATGTCCCACCAAAAAATATAAAAAAATTGGTGGGTGAAGAAAGTTGTAGCAAAAGCATATTGAAGGACTCCAATGTGTTGAAAGTTAAAAATTCAGTCAGTGAAATAAGCTGTGTGAAGAGGGATTCTAATGTGTTGAAGGGAAATAACTGTGTGACAAACATTAGGTCACCTTGTGTACTGGGTCATGTTGATAACCAAGTATTACAGAAAGGTCAGAGGTCACAGAACAATCTTCAGAAGGAGGCTAGTCAGGAATTAAATTCTACATTTACTCTTAATGAAGAGAATATTGACCATGGTATCCTGAGTCGATTGCCGATAGTTGAGAGCAGTTGTGTAGATTATTCACAGAGTCAAATGGATTCTACATTACGACCCCCTAGTGGGACATCACTACAGTCACAAAGTGGCAGTGGGTTTGGACAAAAGTTAAGTGCTAATTCACAGGGTACATTAATGATAAACTCGGCCAAGAAAGTGACATTCCCAAATGCTGTTACGACACATACAGCCACAACAACCACACCAGCATCAGCTAACAAATCCTCGCTTCTGACTTTGCTCAACATCAATCCCCTTAACACTGACTCTGGTTCAGTTATACAGCCTCTAGGTTCCACTGTGAATACATCAACTGTTACAAAGATTGCAAACTCTATCAACTCTGGAACTGTTGTCAAGGGAGATACTTCAGACCAGACAGGAGGGAGCTCAGTGAAAAGCAGCTGTGTGCGTTCCATTCAGTTTGATGTAGCCTGTACTCCCAATAAAGGTAGGTTTAAGGCTGAGACAGGAATGGTCAGCTTTCTGTGACTTTCTGTTGTTGAGCTCACAGATTTCTGAGGTATTAACCATTTTTTTCAAAACTATGACACTTTGAGTGATGTTATTTTTGGTCTTCAACATACTAAGTGGTGGGCTATGAAGTGTGTTTGAATCTATAACATTTTACTGGCCAATAGGTTTTTATTTATGACATGATGAAGGAGAATCAGAAAATGAAATCAAATGAGATGTCATATACTAAAGGTCAAGGTCACCAAATCAAAGAAGATCAGATTTGAAATATGTATATTTCACCAAGGCTAAATATTTATTGTTTATAAACCAATAAACAAAAATTAGATATGATTATAACACGAAGGTTTAGTCTTACTCTATGGGGCCCTTCCTGACATGTGCCAGTTCTCTAGTTATTGTCAGTGTTGAAAGAAACAGTGTGGTATTTATTTTTCAGTGCGATCCTATGCAGAGGTAGCATCCAGTCCTGTATTGTCATGTGCCAGAGTTCCCTTACGACAAGTTGACAGTAACACACCTTTAGCCACTCAAATGACACCAGGACGTATAAGGTAAAAGCATTTCAATGTTTCGTACACCATCCCATATTTTGATGTGTTTATCATTGTATGATGGTGTTGCGTTCACCTACAGGTCTGCAAATCATTTGTGGCTCATAAACTTTTCATTCAGAGATCTTCATTTCTGTTTTTTAACAATCTCTTTGGTAGGTTTGCATTTTGATTGGATAATCCATTTTCAACATTTCAAACACCTACATATAAATGTATTTCACTGTATTGTTCTGCTGTACTTGTGAAATTTGTAAAATTTCAGGATTTGATATGTGACATGTACCCTATCATTTAAGTGTTTTAGGTTTAGTTAATGACTCATCTCTCATCACACCAGATCAGTCAGTTGAATTATGTCTGTCCTCATTTGTCTATCGTTGTAAGATGTGAACATTATTTGTAGACTGTTGGATATTACTCTCCACTTTGGTACTTTTAAATCATGTCAACTCATGAGCCACCATAGTTTTTTGAAATTTTCCTAAGATATTATTTTTTTCATGGAGCTAACTGAAGCTGTATGTGAAAGTCATGAATTTCCTTGTCTGTGTACTATATATTAAAATTTCCACTCTCCATTATACCAGATGACAGCAATAGTGATCAAAATGTGGTGAATTTTATACTTGATAGTTAAAAGCAGACAAGGAAAATCTCCATTTGGAGAAATTATTCTTATGTGTGTCATGGTTCATCTTCTGGGTTTCAGACAGAATCCTAACGTTATACAGAGAGCCTCATTAAAATAGCAAACAAATAAAAAAAGTGGAGCGACTCCTGAGGTTTGGAAACAGTATGTTACTTTCTTAGGCGGGAACATGTTGGCAACCAACTCAATATACTGTTTGCAAACCTGGCTTCAGCAGTTTCACTATTTCTTTTTCATAAGTTCAATATCAAGAAATATAACTACATTCCAACAATTTGTGCTGTATCATAGTAAACACATGAATCATTACGTCGCTTCATACTTAGACAATATATTTCTGCTTCAGGAAAACAGAGGATTCGGGGGATAAAGAAAACACACCAAAGAAAATTATTTGTCCGCGAGGATCAGGTACTTGGTCTTGAAATTCTGTAGCTACCTTGTCATCACTAGAGACATATCCTGATGCACAGAGATGGACACTGGAGTCTGTCACCTGTAGATATTGTTCAGACAACTTCAAAGTCATTCTATATTTCAGCTTTATGAAAATATACTTTTGTTCAGAATGATTGCGCCATTAACTTATCAAATGGCCTGTCCGAAAACTTTATATCTGGTCTTAGTTTTACAGTTACAATAAAATTTTCCTCCCTGAATATATGGCTATGTCAACCTAACCCTGGTTGTTTAAAGGTTAATTAGAGTTAACCAGTGGTTTGTGAAAATTTCAAATTGTTACCACTGAAAAAAATGTGAAAGGCAAATCTATATCAATCTGACTTGTTTTAACAAATCTACAGGTGTCAAATGATTAGGAATGTTCCTAAATTGGTTCCCTATTTGAAAAACCTGTCTTTGAACAACTGAGGACAGATGTATCCTTGCTGTCTCCTACTTAAAATTTTCTAATCAAAATCATTCATTGTAACACAGTATAACATGTATTCTGTTCAAACATTTCTGCCCTCAACAAGATTTTTTGAAGAGGGACAGTATTATTGATAAGTTGAACCATTCACTTTAAAAATATTGACTAATTTTATGGCATCTAAGCTGTATGAGTCTCTAAGCTATGTTTCCAGTCAATCTATAAAACTGTTGATCCTTTTTTATATTCCTGTATTGAAAGCCTTGAACTGTTAAAAGAATATTAGGACTCATTTTAAACTATCATTACCTGATATGTATTGTCACTTTTATAAGAAATCTTAGCTAGAGGTAGAATTTACTAATTGGGATCCATGTTACTAAGTAGAATTACACAAATGTCAATGATAGTACATATGTATTGTTGTATTATAACTTGAGTCATGATTTTTCTGTGTTGACAGATGACCGTGGGGAGGTCTTTAAAGCTACAACCCCCGGCTATATGAGGATGACTAAGGCTGCTTCAGGCAGATTCCCATCACGGTAAGTTGAGTCACAAAAAACTGTAATAGGGTGGTAAAAAAAATATATGTACAGAATGTCTTTTCTTGTTGAATATTAAAAAGGGGAGGAGCCAACACTAGTCCCGTAGATAGGTAAGGAGATGTGGTTGTTCAGTCACCGGAAGATGGATACCAAGGGAGTCTCTCAATAGAATCAATAAGACATCATAAGCAGGAGTGTTCTCAACATCAACCAACTTCAACAAGTTAAGTAGTAGGTATGATTTATTACTTTGCTGACCAGTTTCACCAGTTACTGCTCAAAAATGGTCGGCAAAGTAATAAATTATACTTACTACTTAACTTGTTGAAGCTGGTTGATGTTGAGAACACTCCTGCTTATGATGTCTTGTTGAATACAGTTATGAAATTAAATATACTGACATATTTTTTCTTTGTCTCACTGATCAATTGATAGAGGTAGATTACACTCCAACATAACCACACCCATAGAGGATGGCGATATGTTACACTGAAGTGTGATACTACCCATTAGTTAACTGACTCATCTATCATTATTCTCCATTCGATCTATAGACATTGGTTTTATCTGAGTTTACAGAATAACCATTGGTAACTTGGCTTGTTTTGCCAGGGCTTTGTACTGTGTGTGATTAGGTTTGAATATTTCTGTTTCAGACACAAGAGAGGGATTACAGAGGGCAGTGACATCCTAAGAGTAGATCATCCATTCAAGTCCAAGTCCAACAAATTGTGAGTTCATTAAAAGACAATGAAAACATAGTCACATCATATAGGCAGCATTTCAGTCTGGTGTAGTGTTTACATAAAGTTTGTGATGTGGATTCCAACTTGTACAAAATTCACGTCTTCAGGCAACAAGACTTTTATTACAAGGACACCCCCTCCCTCCTCAAGAGAAGCTGAAATGTGCTATTATTGTAATATTGATAATAGTGAACTGTTTGAAGATAAGGAAAAACTTAATTTTCTTTTTGGATTCCAACACAACATCTTAACCAACCATGCACTGTCTTTAATCTGATACTATTTGAGCGAAAATCATTTGATTCGAAAATATCATATTTAGGTGTACATAATGTGTATTATACAGCTCTTAAGATTGCTTGTTTTACACTGAAGTAAAACCATTAACTTCTGTACATAATTGTAAATTCTTTATGATTGATATCTCTGTTTAATATTGAGAGACTCCAAAATAAAGCCCTCTGGACATTTTGAATTCTTTAAGTATATGTGTTGAGGTGCTATTATGACTACCACTCATAATTACATTGGATCAAGGCAAAAATAAATTGTTAAATATGCTACTAATTGAGAAGTTGTGTGGTCAAATTTGAGCAAAACCTTAGTTAAGCTGTATGTGGCATACAAATGTTTGATTTGGTTGAAATGTATAAATACTTAGTAGTTGGTAGATACAAGTAGTATATATGATTGTGTAAAGCAAAGTATACCAATTCTATTGTCTGTGTTTCAAATGCGTATCTTATCCTTCCAGGTTACGCCAAAAAAGTCAGTCAACTTCCAACCTTGCCCGACGCGGATGGCAGTTATGACCTTAATGGATGAAGACATTTCTGAGACACTAATTGACCAATTATTGACCGACTTTTCTATTGTGACTGTGATCATGTTTACTGTAATCAGATTGTGTTGTCTCAGCATCATGTTCATTGAAATCCTTCAGATGGGTTGTGGAAATAGTGTGTACATCACAATTCCATTTCCAAGAAACATCTTATGATGTAAAAAAAAAAAATTGAGGTTTTCACAAAAATAAATACTCAGTAGTTTAATAATTTAGAGGAGAAGAAAATAGATTTGAATCTGGTGCAATTTGAAAACAATTCTGGAGGTTTTTAAAATAAAAATTAATTATTAGTATTTAATCCGACAGGAATTGACAAAATATTGTTTGTAAAAATGAAGTACCAACCACTAGATTCTCACTCTATTGTACCCGGTTCAGAGAAGACATTTCAAGATGGTGCTGAGTACAGAAAGAAGCATCTATGTACTGAATTTTAATGAATATATATGTTTTCATTTAAAACATGTCTAGATTGCATTATAATGCTGTATAAATTTTGACATCAGCTCATCAACATAGGTAAATATTCAAAAGTGACATCCATTTAAAAATGTGCTTCATCTGAAATCCCAAAACAAAAAGGTGACTTCATGGAAATTCACTGATTTGTTGTTTGGAGATAAATATAAAAATTTAAGGCTGTATACTTTAGTCCTGTAAGAGGTAACTGCAGTGGAATTAATTTCATCATTTTATATTGATATTCATACAATTATTTGTGTTGATATTGAAGTATTTGTACTAATGTACAAAGTGTTTTTCCATCCTTATGCTGAAAAGTCCTCTCTAGACCATGTACGTGAGTGATTCTGGTCCTGCAATTGCTCAGCTCAGATATTTGCTATCCCTGCTTCTCACAATTAGTGTTGTTATCGCCAAAAGTATCTATTTATAACTCCTTTTTCTCAGAAATTTTATATCTATTCCTTCACACTGTTAGGTCTTTTCCTTACAGGTGTTTCAACAGACTTCCGTGATAAACTTGTGCTACTGTTTCTGGTCTTAGATAGTAATCCACGTACCATGACGTCAGATTTGAATATCAAGTGTTGTCTAGAAAGTTTGTTGATGTTGGCATCTTATCAATGTTTGTATGAAACTCAACATGTGTTCAAGTTTCGCACCACAAGTGAAAACATTTCCTGACAAGATTACCATGCACCATGAAACTTATGTTCAACAGATGATGTTTTATATAATCATTTCCAAAAGAAAAGGTGTCCATATTGTTTTTTATATATAAAAGAAAACGTTAATTTTTTAAATCTTTATTTTGAAGAATGTCTTAAAAAATATATAATATTCAAATTATGAATGTCTTTACCTTCAATCAATATGCATGTTTTCCTAACATTATGGATACAAAAAACATCAACAACGTGCCAACAATTTGTTAAAAGACAAACTTACCTGATTTAACCATGCCAATTATTATCATAAGTTTCTGTTACTCAACAGTACAAGTTTTTATGCTTAGCTTGGAACAACACAATGAATAACAAAGAAAAATAAAGAATGATAACATCACTCTTTTTACACTAAATTAGACATACATAATACAAGTCTGCACCATTTGTTTTTACAGAAATGCTTTCTTATATGTAAATATATTTATATCAATAAATGTTTTGATTCAGAAAGTAGAATCAAGATAAAAATATTTTCAAAATTTGTGTTTTCTTTTTCTAGATTTTCACAGGTGCCAACCGTTGTATGAACTTTAGCAGTTGAATCTTTTCCTGTCTTTCCTCTTATGCAGAAATAAAGCAAAGGGGAACCTAATTATGAAATTTTCGATAGACCAATCCACAATTTTTTTTTACAAAGCACAATTACAAAGTGTAACTATTGAAATCCAAGATGGCTGTCTGACAGCCTTTTTTGCTTCGGATAAGTTCAAAATCGATCATGCAAAACTAGGCCATGGAGAGTCTAGATATGAAATCTGAAAAATAAATCAATTAGGTACTTTATGGATATCAAATTCCAGCTTTCTCATTCCCACATGGCTGTCTATCATCCATGTTTTATGCCCCCACCATTAAATGGAAGGACATAGAGCATTGCCCTTGTCAGTCCCATCCCATTCTGGTTCAATGTAAACACTTAGCAACTTCATTTTTTGACAGATTTTAATCAAACTGTATACAAAGGTTGACTATACTTTGGACAGTGTTGTGTTTAAGGGCCAAAGGTCAATTCAAAAGTCAGTGGTGCTTTATATATAGAAAATATTAACAGATTCAATTTAAATACATAGCAACTTATTATTTCACAGATTTTTTGTCAAACTTTATACAAAGATCAAAGATGAGTGTTTTTGTATCTTGTATTTCTGTGACTTAAGTTCAAGGCCAGATCAACCTTACTATACGTAGGTAAAAAAACATTTACTGACTCAACATTGAAACTGTTTTTGCTTGGCTGTGGGGGCATATACAACAGGGATTTTCTCATATTTCATTAGTACCAAAATTGAACCTGCACATATACATACCAATTTTTTAAGGACAGAGGAAGGGCCAAAATACAATCACAAGATATTCATTATTGTACTAAAATTTATCAGCTATATAATTATGTGAGGGCCGATCCAGTTCAAATGTCTATTCATTAGCATCAGTTGCTGCATCAATATGTTTCACCTCTGTATGTTGATAGATATTTCAATCAAAAAGTAAGATTTTTTTTTAAAGTTAACATCAATGATCTTTCTGTAGAGAGGTGGTTTGATAGAGAATAAAATCTGAGGTTTCCCTGATTCATGTACAAGAAAGTAAGGTGTTATGTCATGTCAATAAGTAGATCTCTGTAATTGTACCAGAAAATAAGCTGCAGACTACATGGCACTGTTTGAATTCATTTCTCTCAACAGTCGATGTTACATAAACCTAAGTCCTTTTCAATAGAAAACTTGTTTCTCTTATACATCTGTAATATACACAAATCATCATCCTGCTGTACTAATACAAATGAAGTATTTAACACTACATCAAATAAATCTCGCTACCTCTGTACATTGTCACCACGTTAAACCATGAACACCGATACCTGGTAACTACAGAACCATTTAATAGGGATTTAAACCATATGAACACAGTTGCTAGGTTACTACAGCACCACTTAAAAGGGGTTTAAACCATATGAACACAGTTGCTAGGTTACTACAGCACACTTAAAAGGGGTTTAAACCATATGAATACAGTTAACAGGTTACTACAGCACCACTTAAAAGGGATTTAAACCATATGAATACAGTTGCTAGGTACTATGCAAAACTTAATATGATTTAAACAATGAACATATCTGTCCGGTATCTACAGGTACTTAATACTGATTTTAACCATGAACATAGTAAGTGCTAGGTTACTATGCAAAACTTAATATTGATTTAAACAATGGACATAGTTGCTAAGTTAATACATCAACACTTAACAGTGATTCAAACTATGAACACACTTGTCTGGTAATCCCAACATTACTTAATGGTGATTGAAAACATGAACACAGTTGCAAGGTTACTACAGCACCACTTGAGAGTGATTTAAACCATGAACACAGTTAACAGGCTACTACAGAACTACTTAATAGTGACTTAAACCATGAACACAGTTGCCTGGTTACTACATCAATTAATAGTGATTTAAACCATGAACACAGTTGTCAGGTAAAAGTGGCTTTTTCAAACTTTCTTAGAATAAGAGTTCAATGTCTGTGTTTGGTTAATTGAGCATTAACCCTTTAAACACACTCCACTTTAGTCCGGGTGATAGGGTGTTAATTCTGTAAATCTCACTTCACCTTTATCAGGGTGATAGGGTGTTAATTCTGTAAATCTCACTTCACCTTCATCAGGGTGATAGGGTGTTAATTCTGTAAATCTCACTTCACCTTCATCAGAGTGATAAGGTATCACCTTGTAAATATCACACCACCTTATCCTGGTGAAGGTCATGTGAACAGGTCTTTGAGTTGGTCCTCAGTTCAAAGCACCACTTAATGCAGTTGAGCTTTATTGCAATGTCATTTCTCGATTCAAGTTCTTTAAAATCAGCTTTTGATTTCTTTTTAAAACATTAAAACAGCTAGCTTTCACTAAATTGTCTTTTTTCTCATCAAAAACACGTGATTTTCAGAAAATGTCAAAAAGTAAATCACCGCTGATTAGAGAATTAATGGTCCATGTTAAATTTTAATTTAAGTTTAAGATTTCATGAAAACATGGAGCCTGCCACTTGAATTAGCTCCCACAAGAATGTTTCTAGTAGGATGAATAGCATTCAGGGAACAAACAGACCCTAAGTTGTCTGAGCACTGGAAGGTCCCGAGGGCGTCACAAGAATCACTGTAAACCTCAATCTGAAACAAGAAATTTTCAATAAAGCATCACAAACATACAAATGCCCTTATGCCCTTAAAGAGTCAAGCTGCGAGAGTGATGATAAGGATGTTCTTAAATCAATAATAGTTATCTTGACCATACATCCCCTTAACCTCGTCCTATAATATGGACTTTAATATAAATATTTCTTTGATTAAAATCTCACAAGGATTTTGGAAATAATAATAATGGTGGCCTAGACTCTGTAGCCTTGAAACTCAAACTTATCCATGACATAATGGTCCTACATATGGGTGTGAAATTTGATCAAAAAAGTCTTAAGGTATGAACGTTTTTTAGAAAATAGTAATAGTGACCTCGACCTTGATCTTAAAACCCTGAAATTTGACATAGTGCTTTGAAAGTGTGTAAAGATTGATTAATCCCTAAAGAAATTCGGCCACTTTAGCAATGACAACAATTTCCTTAAAACCAGTGGTGGTGCACTTGATCCCAGAGCTCTGAAATTCAAACTTGTTTGAGATTTAGTGGTCCTTTATCAACGTATTTATCAATGACCTTTACCATTCAACACTGAAAATAGAACTTACCCAAAATTTTATGGTCCTTTTTAAGTGTGTGAAGCTTAATAGAAAGATCCTCAAGGGAATGAAGCCAAAAGTATTGACAAAGATAGGTGTAAAGACCAATGCATGTCGGTTCAGGAATAAATTTCTATCCTCTGTAACAGTTGTAGCGTAGGGATATAAAAGATAAGAAGTGATTCGAGACCTCAGGCATTATTTATACCTACCTGTCGAGGTCTCTTCATACTTCCAACCACAAACAAATCTTCCCGACGTGGATGCCAGGAGGCCCTGAAGTTGGTGAGCCAACGGCCAACGTGGTTGTCATGTCTATAAAGATAAGAAATCTATGTGTCAGCATTTGATTGGTTAATTTTAAAGCAGAAATATACAATACTACATTTTGTACAAGTTAAAGGCCGATTCATCATTTGTTTTAATCAATCTTGAGTTTATTATTTTTGTTTGCTGCAAAATTGAGAAAATATCATATTGCAAAGCATGACATTATCCCCTGCTCCCTGTTGTTTAAAAGGAACACATACAAGCATATATATATCTTAATATTACAACAAAGTTTAATTTCTATTTGTTGTTTTGTATTGAATTGGAGAACTTCTACTAGAGTACTATCTTGATGCATGTACAAAGTTTTTTGTGTACCAGGTAATTACCTTGAATGTTTAAGAGAACTGGTCTGAAAACGCGGTAATAAGTAAAATGTTTTGAGCAATCATCTTGAACAGTTTTAGAGCATTGGTCCAGAAAAACTGAAATTTGTGATGTGGGATATCTGTTTCCATGGTGACAGAATTTTTTTTTACTGGGGCACAATCCAAATATTTACTGGAAGTTTTGTGGAGTTGATTGAATGGTTTCAAAGTTGTAGCCGAGAAGAGAAAGTTAACACTAATTTTATGTTTTTTGACTGTATCCATGGTAACAGAAAAAATATGAAAAATGAAATGTCAATAGCAAAAGGCACAACTAGGGCACTAACTTAATATATATAAGTTTTGTGAAGTTCAGTAGACCGGTTTTAAAGTTATCGCCTCGGATGACGGACAGATGCACACATATGCACGCACAGAGCTCACATCAATAGAATTATGATTAAGAAAGAAAACAATGTTTGTGAGATATGAATGCCCTCACTCCACTGCATATAGTTCTAAAAACATTAGCTATCACATTCAAACATGCATTGATGACTTAAATCTTTTACATACAGCTTGAATATCCTCTAACAGTTGATGTTGCTTCTGTGATGTGATGATGCTTAAGTGATGTGATGCTGCTTCAGTGATGTGATGCTGCTTAAGTGATGTGATGCTGCTTCAGTGATGTGATGCTGCTTCAGTGATGTGATGCTACTTTAAGTGATGTGATGCTACTTCAGTGATGTGATGCTGCTTCAGTGATGTGATACTGCTTCAGTGATGTGATGCTACTTTAAGTGATGTGATGCTGCTTCAGTGATGTGATGCTGCTTAAGTGATGTGATGCTGCTTCAGTGATGTGATGCTGCTTCAGTGATGTGATGCTGCTTCAGTGATGTGATGCTGCTGCTTAAGTGATGTGATGCTTCTTAAGTGATGTGATGCTGCTTAAGTGATGTGATGCTGCTTCAGTGATGTGATGCTGCTTCAGTGATGTGATGCTGCTGCTTAAGTGATGTGATGCTGCTTAAGTGATGTGATGCTGCTTCAGTGATGTGATGCTTCTTAAGTGATGTGATGTTGCTTCTGTGATGTGATGCTGCTTCAGTGATGTGATGCTGCTTCAGTGATGTGATGCTGCTTCAGTGATGTGATGCTGCTTAAGTGATGTGATGCTACTTCAGTGATGTGATGCTGCTTCAGTGATGTGATGCTGCTTCAGTGATGTGATACTGCTTCAGTGATGTGATGCTACTTTAAGTGATGTGATGCTGCTTCAGTGATGTGATGCTGCTTAAGTGATGTGATGCTGCTTCAGTGATGTGATGCTGCTTCAGTGATGTGATGCTGCTTCAGTGATTTGATGCTGCTTCAGTGATTTGATGCTGCTTAAGTGATGTGATGCTGCTTCAGTGATGTGATGCTTCTTAAGTGATGTGATGTTGCTTCTGTGATGTGATGCTGCTTCAGTGATGTGATGCTGCTTCAGTGATGTGATGCTGCTTCAGTGATGTGATGCTGCTGCTTCAGTGATGTGATGCTGCTTCAGTGATGTGATGCTGCTTCAGTGATGTGATGCTGCTTAAGTGATGTGATGCTGCTTCAGTGATGTGATGCTGCTTCAGTGATGTGATGCTGCTTCAGTGATGTGATGCTGCTGCTTAAGTGATGTGATGCTTCTTAAGTGATGTGATGCTGCTTAAGTGATGTGATGCTGCTTCAGTGATGTGATGCTGCTTCAAGTGATGTGATGCTGCTGCTTAAGTGATGTGATGCTGCTTAAGTGATGTGATGCTGCTTCAGTGATGTGATGCTTCTTAAGTGATGTGATGCTGCTTCAGTGATGTGATGCTGCTTCAGTGATGTGATGCTGCTGCTTAAGTGATGTGATGCTGCTTAAGTGATGTGATGCTGCTTCAGTGATGTGATGCTTCTTAAGTGATGTGATGCTGCTTCAGTGATGTGATGCTGCTTCAGTGATGTGATGTGATGCTACTTTAAGTGATGTGATGCTGCTTCAGTGATGTGATGCTGCTGCTTAAGTGATGTGATGCTGCTTCAGTGATGTGATGCTGCTTAAGTGATGTAATGCTTCTTAAGTGATGTGATGCTGCTTAAGTGATGTGATGCTGCTTTAGTGATGTGATGCTGCTTCAGTGATGTGATGCTACTTAAGTGATGTGATGCTGCTTCAGTGATGTGATGCTACTTAAGTGATGTGATGCTACTTAAGTGATGTGATGCTGCTTCAGTGATGTGATGCTGCTTCAGTGATGTGATGCTGCTTAAGTGATGTGATGCTTCTTAAGTGATGTGATGCTGCTTCAGTGATGTGATGCTGCTTAAGTGATGTGATGCTTCTTAAGTGATGTGATGCTGCTTAAGTGATGTGATGATGCTTCAGTGATGTAATGCTGATGTGATGCTACTTCAGTGATGTGATGCTGCTTAAGTGATGTGATGCTGCTTCAGTGATGTGATGCTGCTTAAGTGATGTGATGCTGCTTCAGTGATGTGATGCTACTTCAGTGATGTGATGGTGCTTCAGTGATGTGATGATGCTTCAGTGATGTGATGCTGATGTGATGCTACTTAAGTGATGTGATGCTGCTTAAGTGATGTGATGGTGCTTCAGTGATGTGATGATGCTTCAGTGATGTGATGCTGATGTGATGCTACTTAAGTGATGTGATGCTGCTTAAGTGATGTGATGCTGCTTCAGTGATGTGATGCTGCTTCAGTGATGTGATGGTGCTTCAGTGATGTGATGATGCTTCAGTGATGTGATGCTGCTTCAGTGATGTGATGCTGCTTCAGTGATGTGATGCTGCTTCAGTGATGTGATGGTACTTCAGTGATGTGATGGTACTTCAGTGATGTGATGCTGCTTCAGTGATGTGATGCTACTTTAAGTGATGTGATGCTGCTTCAGTGATGTGATGCTGCTTCAATGATGTCAGTTATCTGGTAACTGATTAACAGTTTTCTATAACTGTACTTGAGACCTTAGATTTGAAATCCTACAATACCGGGGTACTCATTCTTGACCTTTACATACAATTTGATCAAATTCCTTCTGAATGGAACTATCTACAGTGATATCTTTCATCATTGATATTGTTGTAATTAACTGTTGTGTCAAAGTTTAATAAAGATCTCCAGACAACTTGTTAAGTGATGACATTGCTGGAATGAGACATGATGGAAATGGACATGGGCAGAACTCCTGTGTCCCTTCCGCTAGATGGTGTACTTGATGGAAATGGACATGGGCAGAACTCCTGTGTCCCTTCCACTAGACGGTGTACTTGATGGAAACGGACAGGGCAGAACTCCAGTGTCCCTTCCACTAGACGGTGTACTTGATGGAAACGGACAGGGCAGAACTCCTGTGTCCCTTCCACTAGACGGTGTACTTGATGGAAACGGACACGGGCAGAACTCCCGTGTCCCTTCCACTAGACAGTGTACTTGATGGAAAGGGACACGGGCAGAACTCCTGTGTCCCTTCCACTAGACGGTGTACTTGATGGAAACGGACATGGGCAGAACTCCTGCGTCCCTTCCACTAAACAGACATGGCCAGAACTCTTGTGTCCCTTCCACTAGACGGTGTACTTGATGGAAACGGACACGGGCAGAACTCCTGTGTCCCTTCCACTAGACGGTGTACTTGATGGAAATGGACATGGGCAGAACTCCTGTGTCCCTTCCACTAGACGGTGTACTTGATGGAAACGGACATGGGCAGAACTCCTGTGTCCCTTCCACTACACGGTGTACTTGATGGAAACGGACATGGGCAGAACTCCTGTGTCCCTTCCACTAAACAGACATGGCCAGAACTCCTGTGTCCCTTCCACTAGACGGTGTACTTGATGGAAACGGACATGGGCAGAACTCCTGTGTCCCTTCCACTACACAGTGTACTTGTTACGCTGAAATACCCACCTGTTGAATGATTACTACTACAGACTTATGCCTACAACAAATTAAACATGGTTGATTTTTCAAGTTGTTTTGTATTTCACTTACCTTAAGTGTCTGCAGTTTTTCAGAGAATTTTCTCCATTGGAACTATTCAACACACTATCAGGAAAAAACAAAAAAAATAAAACAATTTAATGACTAGGAACTTTAAGGCTGTTGTGGTACAAATATCCAGTTTCCAGTTCTCTGCAAACAATTACCATGACAACATGAAACTTATAATGAATTTAAAATTTCACAACCTATAATCTGTACCACTACTTCTACAAGATAAACATGGGTATATATATCTTCACCTCAGCAGATCTGTTTTTTTTTTTTTTTTTAAATTTCCACGTCTCTTCAACATAATCAAAACTTAAAGGTGAATTTTATGTGAGAATGGGACTCACCTGACTTTGTCATCCATGGATGTGGTTAGGATATATTTGCCAGTTAGGGGGGAGAAGTATGCACTATTAACACCTTTACCATGCTGTATGAAGTCTGTCGGTTCATTTTTCTTGCCACTGGATTTCAACTTTCTGTGATCCCATAAACTCACAGTCCTATAAAAGTATATATTTCATGCTATTTTAAGATATCTAGAATCACCTAGATGATTTGAATTTATAGGTTTTGGTCAAGACTGACATTGTTGACAAGATATAATGATTGACATTAACAACCAATAATTGATAGGACCACCACACTAACATGCATTAAGCCTTAGGGGTCATTACTCTAAGTCTGACTCTGTTGGTGGTCTTATCACAGGACAATAAGTTATCAATTTCTCCTGGGAAATCCAGATGAACAGCAGAAGATAAGGGTGGGCTTATCACAGAATAATGAATAGGCATTCTCACAAATAATATTTTACAGAAATAGATATAAGAAAGCCTATTATCAGACATGGGCTTACTGCCAAATATAGTACATGACTTACCCATCAGCAGAGGCAGTGGCAAAAGTATGAGTGAGGACTGGGTGTACACTGACAGTACGCAGTGACTTAAAGTGTAGATTGTACTCATGTTCAGCTTCAACTCTGAAAATAATTTTCAAAATATCTGTATAACTTTATTTACAAACAGGAGGCCCCAAAGCCTCCAGCAACTTCTTCACTTTTCAATGCACACAGTCCCAATCATAGAATTAAGCAGAAATTTAAATGTACAAAAACAAGTGAATATTGGTGACAAAAATTTAAAGATAGCAAATTCTACTAATATAGAGAATTACAGTCTGAACTTAAATATTTTCTTCCCAGTCATGTCTGATGTATAATTTAAGTGTATTTAGACACCTCATCTACATATGACAAGCTAGAAACTATTTTCAATTGTAAATGTATGAGGGAGACTGTGGTGTAATTTCTGAATTAAGGTCTATCAGGTGATCAGTTGGTTTCATGTAGTTGCAGAATGATAAAGGCAAACTTTACTGAACAATATCTAAAATTTTTTCATTGAGTTTTAACCGCATACAGATTTGAGTAAACTTTAACAGTAATATTGATATACACTTTGTGTATTTAACCTACTCTTAATGACCTTGACCTACCCTTTGGTGCGTCTGTCTACTAGAGCCACAGAGCCATCTTGTTGTGAGACCAAGAGTGAAGATTCTGACAGGAAATCAAAATTCTTCAACAAGTTGTAGTCATCTTCTGGTGAGGCATATACCTGCATAAAAGACAGCATGTTTCCTAAGAAATAAGAGGCCTATGTTTATCCGTTACCTGAGGTACACAATAATTTGAAACAATGGTCACATTTCATTCAAACTCAGGATCAAAGGGAATTTTCCTGAACAAATAAGGTTTGAGTTTCTTTTCCAATGCTGATTTCTGAAAAATAACTAACCTCGTCAAATATTTCCTTCTGGAGGTCTCCCATACGCAATGTCCCATCATAACTACAGGAGTAGAGGTTGGCAGAATTCCAGGGAGAGAAACGTAGACAGTTAACAGGGCGAGAGTGAGGAGTGTAAGCTATTACACCATCTGTCATGTGTTCACGGCCAGGCACCTACAAGGTCAAGGTTATTATAGCTATTTATACCTAATGATGAAATAAACAACCTGATAACTAGGGCTGTTGTGAGTATCTGACTTCCCAGTATGGATGGGGTCTGATTTTATGTAAGTTGTTTCACTTTTGAAAACATGTCACTCTCATTGCTCAGACTTGTTTTATCAATGTTGTATGTGTACTGAAATATTTCAGTATCCTAGAAACATGTCCTGCTTTAGTCACTAAAGATGATAATTAAACTTCTAGAACAGAACTACTTATAAACATAAAATATTTTAAATGTCTACTTTATACACAAGTAATTTCCCACTAAAAAGTCTACTTTATACATCAGTCACTTACCACATCCCAAAGTCCCACAGCGCCCCATTTATCACCAGCTGTAACGAGGACTTTATCCTCAGAGGGATGGATGTCCACAGAAAATACTCGATTAGGTACCACCTTCGCTACCCTTTCTGCTGTCAGTGTCATCTTACTAAAGTCTTTCATGAAACTGGTAATTAAAAAACAGTATGTCAACACACAATCACACAATGGCTATAGAAATGAAGTCTCAGATCATTTAATACTTTTGTTAAAGGCAAAGAAAAATTCAAAATTAGAGGCATCATGAGTTGTTCTTGTTGCCTATTTTCTTCCGGTGAGTGAATATTGTATTCAGGCAAGTGAATTTCAAGTTTCACTTGCCCAAGACGAGTAGCTGAAAATATTTTTTTCTAACCCTGTGGGATATTGAATTCATGGACACAGGTTTTCCCTCATCTCTTAACATTAAGAATCATCAAAATTTTGGAGCTAGTATACAGGTTTTGTCTGAAAAAAATCCTACAAAAATTACTGGTTTTATAAATAACTGATGTTTGCTTGAGTTAAATGCAAATACTCTTGATATTTACCTAGCAAGAGGAGTTTTCTTTGATCTGTCGTCGTTTGATTCCTGCTCGGTGTCCACTAGTCCTTTTAATTTTAGCATCAGTTCTGTGTGGTCCTCCAATGTACCTTCCTTTAACAAACTTTCCTTCATTTCTAGTGGACCACTTGGTTTCCTTGCCTAACACAATAAATAATGGTCAACTTAACATAACATTGACATGTATAGATTCTGACGGAGATAAAATATGTTATCAAATACTTTCCATAATTATTTTGCAATTAACCTAAGCCTGGTGATAAGCCCACCAACATCTTTTGCAGTTTCATTGAAAGTGTCCAACAAATACTCAAATTCTATTCATAGGCCTACCTTTCTATTTTGAGTCAGAGATTCTTTTCATAATCCTACCTTTCTATTTTGAGTCAGAGGTTTACCCATTTCTAGTCTTGCTAAATTGATACAGAACATTACCAAAAATAAAGCTAGGTCATCACATGATTGCAGCAAGGATATCATCACCTCTATCTTCGAAAATTTTATCACAAAAACACATTTTCAAAATGCAATGACTTTTATGCCAATATATTGTATCTATCCTACTGTTAAATCTTCAGGTCACACATTACTTCTGATTCACGGGCAGGAGGTAAGCTTCTTATAGGAAAAAAAGTGACATTTGTTGGTACAAACAATTAATTTCAAAAAATAAGAATATGGCTAACAACTTAGCATGGGCATTTTGCCTGATAAATATGACTGCACCTCTTGAAATTGCCCTTTACCAATTCATATTTGTTAAGCAAAATTTTTAATTGAAAGGTTGCATGTGGAAACCAGCATTTACAATTACATTTTCGACGACATCTTCAGTGACAACAGGCAGGGGTGGTAGTGTGTTACCCTCAGGATCGATTCTTTTCAGACGTAGACTGCTTCTTCGAGGAAGAGGGGGAGCTTTCTCCTTCTCCCTAGAAAAAAGTGTACAGAAACAACTTCACACTCAATACAAAAATGAAACAGCTTTCAGTGAACTTTATCAACTCAACAAAAGATGTATTCTATCAAGGCCTCACTAGCCTCAGAGAAGAAATTTGTGACTGAATATAGTGGGCCTGCCATAATCCAGTTGCTGAAATTCCAGAAAAGTTGCAATTCTTATAGAAATGTTAGAGAAAAGACTTTCGAAAAGTTATTTATATCACTTGTCTGGAATCAAGACTTCCAAATAAAGAAATGCCTTTAGGAAACAAAAAGACTTTTCTTAACAATATTCTTGAGATAATAAAGACATTTGTCAGTAAGAAAGCATAATGTTGGATCATCATACTGATAGCACTTGTGTAATACATACAGTCAGCAGTTACTGTTGCCATAGAACTTGTACAGTAATACAATGAGAAAGAAGAAATGTTATGAATTGAAAGGATTTAGACTTGAACACAATTGTAATTTATCTCACAACCACTTTTCAAGAAAAAACAAATTAATAATTCAAGAAACTTTTGATTTTTTAACAAGAAAATGTTCTACTTTTTTCCAAATTCTGTGTAATTTTTATCGAGAGTTAATCTTAATATTTTTGAACAGTATGAAAAATTTGAAAAACTACTGATCTATCAATGATCTGGCCTTCAATAAGATATCACTGTAACTTAAGAAAGAAATATAACTATGTATGACCAGTCACATGCCAAAACCAAGCAGTCTGGAACATTCATAATACCAAAGAGTTGAGCGAGGAATGGAGGTGTCTGAACTAACTAGGATCCACTGTAATGCAAATTGAAAGTAATTTAAAAAAAAAAAGTGTTTCCCTTTTTAATATGTATACAGAGCAGGGAAACCATGACGTTTTTCAAATTTAGCTTACATATTATGGACTAAATTATACATACATGAAAGGGAAAAAATTAAAGCATAGGGACCTGTTTTGTGTCATCTACTTACCTTTTCAGGCCTCTGTTGGAAGCTTTTGGTTTTGCACTGCTTTGTTTTATCTCATTTTTCATCTGAAATCAGAGAACCAAAAGTGATCCACATACAAAACATAGCAGCACCATAGAAGTGATTTTCTCAACTTTATAGATGTCGATTCTGGCAGAAATATCATAGTTCTATTATTATCATAGTTGATTGTACAATAGTGTATGACATCCTTACAACATCACTTGGTTTAGGAGAACAACCTTTTTAGGGTAAGCAGCTTTCAAGTGTCATGAAAATGAAATTGTAACATTGATGATAGTAAGTTAGTGTCAATATATGTATACCATCAAAACTGTCTTCCTCTAAAAATAATTCTTACAATGTTATTTCCAGTGAATAATAAACAACAACATGCTCAAAAATGTTATTTTTCTATGATAATTATAGTAAAGTTAACCTCCTCCCCAGGAACAAATGTTTGACCAATTTTAGCAAAGTCATTCCATCCATGAAGAGCATTTGATTCTACCATATCTGGGTGTTGAGTAGAAAATGTTCAAAATTAAGGTCAATCTGATCCCTTTTTGCCCCGCCCATCAGTCCCTAGGGATCAATATAGGCATACTATCTTGCCGTTATCTCTCGCTCATAATTCTAACCACATTTTTATGTATTTCCAGTGGAAATTAAACAAATTATGCTCAAAAACCTAATTTTCCTGTACTAACCATAGTAAACTTTATCCCCTCCCCGTGGAGAAATGCAAGACCCTGGGGCCTTGAGATTCACAATTTTGGTTAAGCACCTTAAGACGCTTCAATCCAGGGAGAGAATTTGATTCCACCACATCTGGGTGTCAGGAAGAAGATTTTTTTAAAGCATTTGATTCCACCACATCTGGGTGTTAGGCTGAAGATTTTTTAAAAACTAAATCAGTTGGACTCCTTTTGGTCCTGTCCATCAACCCCTGGGGGTCAGCCAGGATCATTGTGTGCATACCATCAAGTATTCATCCTTCACTCATAATTCTAGTGAAGTTTGAAATATTTCCTATAGAAATTAAACAAATTATGCTCAAAAATCTATTTTTTCCAATATAAACTACAGTAACATTTACCCCCTCCCTACAGGGAAATGTGAGCCCCTGGGGTCGTGAAATTCACATCAATGAAGAGCATTTGATTCTACCATATCTGGATGTTGAGAAGAAGATTTTTAAAATCCGAGTCAATTTGACCCTGAGTGGTTGGGACCATATAATTAACTTTTTTTGTTCATCTTGGCCCAGGGAAGATTTCTGCAAAATTTCATTGAAATTGATTCAGCGGTTTTTGAGAAGTCGAAAAACGTTAAAATTATTAATGGAGGTACAACGCCAGGCAAAAGTGATCGCAATAGGTCACCATGTGACATAACAAACACTTTTCAGTAGCTTGACATAAAATATAAAGAACTGATTATATTATCCACATCATCAAGCACAACTACACTAATTAAAGATGACATTAATTGCCAATATACACACAATGTAACTGTATGATATGTCATTGTCCTTGTGTATTTCTGTTTACATACACAAAGTTGTTACCTCTAATATTCCTAATTTGTTGAAAAAATCAGCATTGTCTTGAATATTCTGTAGTCTTCTCTTTTCATAAGTGCTAATTCCATACTGAAACAAAGACAAGATAAATATAGTTGCAGAATCCAGATAATGGCAGGCTTGCAGCTGTAATTTATTCCTGGCTAGTGTGGCAGATTTTCATACAAAATTACTTTGTTTATGGTAGGATAACTATAGCTATCAAATATAAATATAAGTAAATACATTTGGCAATTTCAGTACCATATTTCTTGCTGCCAAAACTTTACATTTTCACATGTATTTCTTTTAATTGATACAATTCAATTACATACTATCTCATATAATCAAATCTTTAAATGCAGAAGTATAGTTTTTGCTTGTAAAGTACAGCCCATAAATCGTTTCATCTGGAAAGTATATGATAGGTAAGAGGTCGACTGAATTAGAAAGAGGCAATCAAGGTAAATTTAACGAAAATTTGACTTTTCAACCATCGATCATCTTTTGGTTTCAACTAGACATCAGTCGAAGCCATTAATATGGTACCTCGTCCTTTAAATCTTCTTCATCACTGGACTGCGATGATGGCTCTGTTTCAGCCTTTCCAGATTGCTGCTTGGTAGTTTGGTCTGTTTGCCCCAATTTACTTGGTCGGTTCATCTCAACCTCTTGCAAAGGCTTCTTCTCCTCATCCTCAACATCACCTATAATTTTCTGTTGAAATAAGGATTTTCAAGCTTTATCTTGGCAAAATCTAAAAGATTGTTAATGGGACAGGATTTTCAAATTTTGACTTAAAATTAGTTTTCCCAGTCCTTTTCAGCTTTTTTTCAAAACATAAGAAATCACTGAATTTCTTCAAAAACTTGAAACTGTCTCTGCTTTTTAATGTAATCCAAACCGGTTATCTAAACAGCATATGATGCATGTTAGAAAAATAGGTAGAATGCCATACCATTCACAATTATGCCTGATCCTGCAAAGATGAGGTCTATACAATTGCCATTCAGTTAATAGAATTGAAAATCTGAGCAGTCATGTTGATGAAGTGTCCTGGAGGGTGGGGGATACAATGCATGTATTTATCAATGTAAAACACTTAGAGAAATATATCTCCTGTTGATTTTCTCAATGATATTGTAAAAGGGGGCTGCATGCCCCTCTGTACATTTCTGTCATGCATGCTCCTGTTGCATACACAAACAACATGTATGCACAGTAGGTCCGGAGAGGGCAGCAGCTGGCTGAAACTGTTGTGTCCCCCAAGGAGAAGTGGATCGGTTCACAAATCCTTTCAAGACACAGAGTCCCGCAGGACGCTGCTCTTCTATACCCTTCATAATGACTGCTACTCTACTAATGGCCAAAACAGTGTAATAAACAAAGTAAGCAATAAACAAATCTTCTGATACAAACTTCCATGTCGTGTCTCTTAAGGTATAAATAATGGATAAACAACCCTACATATGTGACATGGTCATGCAAACAATAAGACATAAAGCTATTTGTTTGTAGCATCTAATCAAAAGTAAGCATACGCTGAAGAAAAGCTCTGTCCTACCAAAAATATATGACAGATATAATACAAAAAGGTCCTGCTATATCAGTAATAACATTATAAGAAGTAAAAAACCTGTTCTCTCACAATTACAAAGATGTCATATTAATACACTCCCAGGACGAGGAAAACCATACACTTGTGTATAATGTCAACCAGGGTATGGCTTTGTTACTAAGAATTCTGGAAATCACAATAAGTTTAGCTTTTTCCAGTATGTAGTCATGAAACAACATACAACTGCAGAAATTAAATATATTTGCTCGTGTGAAAGTATAAAAAAAGATATATGCATTACTTCTGTTGTATATGGCCTGTGTTACGATTGTACAATTACTAAGGCAACGACTGATACATCAGTGGCCAGCACTTCAGGTAAACATCTTAGTTTAGAATTACTTAACTTGTCATAAATGCAACTTTTGATAACATATTGCAAAAGTTACTGTTTAATCAATTTCAACTATTTTCAGCAACAAATCCGTATCAAAATTGCCGTATAATAGGCCAGTATAGGTATCGTATCTCTATTTGTGTTTTCCCCCGACCTGAATAACATAATCATGAACTTCTATAATCAGAGAAGAATACTCTGTAAATGGCATTTTCCACTCTAGATTTGAAAAAAATGTCTCGTCATAAAACACAATGAGTGTCGTTGAAGTAAACTTCGAATTCATGAAAGGCCAACACGCTATGTATACTCGCTTGCATTTTTTTGCCAATCAGTCCCATTGTTATATATATTTATTGAATTCTTCGGTTATGTCGACAGTATCAAAGTAGGTATGCAATTTTCATACTTACCCTTTTCTTTGGACTCGGCATTTGGTTCAAAACCGTTTGCCTCTTTGTTCGTTGAGAACGTCGTGTAGCCATCCTGCTTTGAAAGACGATCGTACCTACACTGCATATACAACGACCACTCGTACTTGTTTGTAATGTTTATGCATCGGCGTTTTCCCGCCGTAAACCCGTTTCGTAAGCAGTTGTGGGAGCGTTTCGTAATCACATTTTATTGAAAAATCCAAGATATCAATGAGAGAGAAAATTAAATAAATATACAACTTGAAAATTAAATTGGTTTGTAAGACCTTTTCAACTGAAAGTAAAATGTAAATAGACAAATGTACATTCACTTCTTCGTCCTGTAAGCACGGAAATTAGCGCAAGTAGCGTTTTTGTTTTCTACTATGAAGAGTTTCAAAATAGTGACATCGGAACCTCTCTTGACTTTCCATACAAAAAAAGGCAACAACAACAACTTTACTTTTTAATCAATTTCACATTTATTATGTATACTGACAACACATGGAAATTTAATATCCATACAAATTGTAAAAATACTATATTTGTTTTATCAAAGTTGAAAACATCCACACATAAAGCAGACAACCTGATACATGTACGACAAACGCATATTAATTTACACTTTAAGCGTTCTGACACAGGGGCTTGTTGACGATTGGTTATAAGCCATGCATGTTAAGTCAATAAAGCTGGCTTTGCAGAATATGATTAAGCTTTTCACCTAACCAATATCAACAATACTCTGTGATTCTGGGTTAAGAAAATGTCAGAATTTAAAAAATAGAAACTAAATTTATTTAAAACAGGATTATTTTTATGACAGTTATGCAAAACGTTATCTGAAATGTTGATTTTCATGTAATCAAATGTATATAATTTACGTAAATCAATTGAACACAACTCATGTCAGTTAATTTTTCAAAATAATTATTATTGAAAACTCTTTATATTTATTATTTTAAAATAATTAGCAGCAAACCTACTGATAACGATGAAATATTGTTCTATATCATAACTTATTGGTATCTTTGAATAAATAAAGTCATCTGCTGAAATCTTACAAATGTTTGAAACAAATTGGGACTAAACAATGACTGAAAACATAACGACATATGTTTCAACATCTCCAACCTGACATTAATGCACACTTCACATTAAATCAACATAAAAATTAGGAAGGATATCAACAATGTTAAACATGATTTATTTAAGAATCAAGTAAAACACTTAAAATATATTTTCACATCTTTTATGGGAAGGAAAGTATATATACAAATTAAAATTAACATTAAATGATGATGATAGCATGAATATTAACTTCAAAACTGTTGCCTTAAAAAATGTATATCCATATCTTAAAAACATGTATAGCATACATTTTTATCTAAAAATGAAGACAAAACACAGAAAATCTTCTAACACACTAAATTATAAAATTAACCAAGAAGCCAAGACTTCAAATAAAAGTCAAGCATCTCTGTGAAATGGATTTTCTGTTTTCTATGAACAATATTTATGATAAAACCAACAATAAAGTATAAAGTTTACAACCCTTCTAAATCGATTAAACTGATCTAACAACCATCCAAGATGTAAAGTACTGACATCTATATCCGTCACACAATTTATGTAATAAAATCCAAAATACATATCTACTATATTGATTAAGAGATTTCAATCGCTCCCCAAGTTTGCAGTAACATACCATATATATAATGTATTACAAGTGGGTACCATAGATACATCAGAATAATCTTACAAGGACATAGATTACAACCTGTATTGTGACTGTATAGAACAGATTCTGATAAGGATTGAAGTTTCCTTTTGACATTTAAACAGAACCTAAATACGTAACTACTTGACATGATGTATGAAGTGGGTACACAAAATATTACAGAGTATAACGGTACAGCAGAGTATAACACTGATACACACTAACCATGAATATTTTCACTTTAAATGTGAAATATGTAGTAAGAAGTACTGCAAAGTTGTTTTCATTTTTTGAAAATTTTGTGAATTTTTCATTCAGAAATCACCATTCTCTGAAATTAAACTTTGAGAATAATGTCCGTTTCAATTTCTTAAATGACAAATATAGATATACTATAAAAGTTTTGACATCTACATGAATACACACTTCACCAAGCCAAATTTTGGATATTACTACAGAAATTGTCTGACATTTTGTGTAAACTTGTTATTGCAACATTCCCCCAAAACTTTCAATTTCAGTTTTACAGGTATTGATATTCATATAACTTAACTTAATACTTAACTAGTTTCTCTAATGGTATGCTTTTTGCTTACTACATGTACTACCATAAATTATTAAATTATTGTTTTTGATATACAACCTCGGAACCTACAAATATTGTTATTCTCATCAGACAAAAATAAGTAGGTTAAAAACAAAATGGGAATTTAGTTCACATATATAATACAACTAGGGTATAACTGCAATATACATTTCCGAGTAGTAAGTTATCAGAAAACGTGCAATTCTTAAAAATCTTAAAAAACTATACAAAACACAATGCATTCTTAATGCTTTTCATCCAAAATATTGAAAGTAAACAGTACAAAACTATGCGAGATGAAAATGCTACATTCATTTACCTACAAAAAGAAATTCCATGTACAAAAAATTTCCACGAACAAGATGGAATGGCACACTACTATCTAACAAACATACCACTTGTATCTACATCAGCCCTGTCACAAAAAATGGTAGTATTAAAGTAATTTCATATGCTATCCTGATATAGCCCAGTTGTCATTAAAGCATGAACAACCCATTCTTCAACTAGAGGATTTCACTTAATTGGTGATTTCTTATATTTCGCACACATGAATTTCACTTTGAATTCTTATTTCAAATCAGCTATAAATTTCTATCACTCAAGCTCTGATAAAAGTTCTTTAAATGAGTTGACCCCTCCCCATTTCAAACTATAACCACCTCTGGATTCTCAGAACACCTTCAGAATTTTAGTAGAATACTAGAAAGTCAAGATCCATTAGATAATTCCTAGAGTAAGGGGTCAATGATTGTATGGTCCAGCAGTTCAGTGGTGTGTCAACCTGTACAGTATTCTCACCGTAATGCCACTCAGTACTACCAAGAAAAGTGTGGAACATTATCTAACTCTCGGATATACAAATAAAATGGTTATAATTCAGCCCAATTCTGTTAGAAAATGAAAAGTTCTTCAATCTGCATTAGCATGCTATTTACTTGCAGGCACAGAAAGTACACAATGACGACAATAGCACAACTATCAACTAACTTTGTCAAAACATATTGAACATGTCTGAAAACTTGTATGACCTTTCTTCAAAGATAAAACAGAATCTGATGATTTTTTTACATGAAAACATGGAAGTTCATACAGACACATAACTGATCACAACAGAATTTTGTTAAAATAACAAGGAAATATATTTTGTTTTCTATAAAATTCCAGATTCAGGCAGAGGAGTGATCGCATTATGGATCTATAAGGTGTTCTGTGTATAAATTCCTTTAGACAACAAGGCCAAGTATTCATAAAAAAGTATTAGTCATAAAAAAAAATAATAATATACATATGATCTGGGAATGAAGAGTTCTGTTAACAGCACCCAAAATAAACATCTTATAAAATTTTCACACATGATACTACATACAGTAGTCTGATCTTGGTTGAGCAAATCAAGTGCCGATTTGATAGTTGTGAATATGTGTATACTTAGTGTATATACCAGTATTCTTTACAAACCTTACTTACCATACTTATCTATGTAAGCATATAAGTATACATCTGCTGTATATGTAGCTGTACCTATAACTACAGCAGGCGTATACCTATGTACATGTACACGTTTACTGGTACACCTAGCTATGTACCTGTACACATCTTGACTTATTTACAGTAAATTACCTAAATTTTGTCAACACCTGTCCAACACTTCTCTGTAATCTCATCATAGCAGTATCTATTTATTAATTTATTAATCAGATGTCCTCTTTCACAGTAGGTGTGCACATGATCTGGATACAAGTGTTGCATCTGATGTGTAAAGTGACCACATACAAACACATCAAGGTTGCAGTTTCCATTTCAGTGATTACTTCAGATGTTCTGAATTGTAAATATTTTCTAAATCTTCTCAAATCCAAACAAATCAATTTTCAATTTTCCTTCATTTCACTCAAAATGTACTCCACAAGTGGTACACTCATGTTGCTTACTGCACTGCAATGAGACTGGACAGCATTTCAGACATAGCTTATTTACACATGTGTTTATAAACAGGCCTAAAATGCAGATAGAAAATGGGCTAACTAGTACAAAAAGTTGATGTACGACAATCGATATACAATAGACATACAACCAACTTACTACTATTGAACATTTGTACCAGTATGTCTTGTCGAAATGAAGATCACTTGTCCACACAAAACCGTACGAAAGGGCTGACAGATTCGGTGATATATGTAGGAATGACGTCAAGGGGAGATAACTTCAGATAATATGTTAAAAATGAATAATTGGTGAAAGCATTGCATCATATACATGATCAGGGCGTAGTGATGAAAGTATAGGAATATCTGGGTACCACAGAGAAAACATCAACAATATCAAATAAAAGTCAGATATTAATTATTATAAAGTTATCTTACGATCCAAACATCTGATATTATAAAATGTTATTAATTAGTAGGTACTGTAATTAACACTGAATTAGAATAACAGGATTACACCTTGTGTACAACAATGAATATGTAGGTCAACAAGAAATCTGTCTACTTGACAATCCATGTCATTGTAAAATAATATCTCAGATCTTAAAACCAGCATTTAGCTTTTTTTCTTCATTAAAATCATTTCATTTTCTCAACAGTCTTAATTTTTTCAACATTAAAAAAAATATAAACATCAATTTTAACCTGACATGTTCCTCTGATTCAGATGAACAAAGATGCTAACATTGCTAATAATATGACAATAAGATGAACTGTTCAGAAACGATGTGTAAATGGTTTCCACTGTTGCCAGGTTCAGCTTCCTCATCATCTTTATCGGCAGTATGACAATTTAATCAACTTGATGTTTAATCAGTCACGTTAACTCCAAAGCAGATATTCCTTACCATACAACTGATTTAAGTTTAATACTATAAACACTGCATTAATCTTCCAGTGAAAATACTTCTATCAATCAGAGCATTAAAAGCTAAATGAGAATCTAAGAAAGAAATTGTTTGTAGACTATAACTACACTTCATTTGATAAAATGAGTGTTAAATCAATTACTTTTCATATTTGTTTTTATATGTTTTAATCTACAGCAGTAAATCATGTTCTTGCAGGGCCTGCAGACTTCCTTCATTCATGAAACCACCAAAACTTGCTTTTCTACACCTCTTGCAATATCTTTAAATTAATATGTTTTATAAGACATCTGATGTAGCTCTGAATACTTAGACCATATGTTAAGCACCTTCACTTTTCTGTGGAGGCATATGAACAAGTTTTGATATAAAATGTCTAATGAGTTTCAATGGATAAATGACTAAGGCCTGCGACATGCTTCTTTTTTCAGGTCCTTAGGGCCTCCTTAGCAATACATTTTACTGTTGAATGAGCTTCTCAAAGCTCGAAGAACAACGACATCATGATAATGTTTAGAGTGCCTTTTCTTTTCCTACACCACGTTCCCATGCACTGCGTGTCTGGACTTAATCCACCAAATGACTAATGAAATGATATTATGACAGTTTGACAGCTTACTTTTCTATGGTCTAGACAACAGCGTCTGTGAATCCATCATGTATTTAGTTCAATGAATTTGATATGCTATGCTATATAAATTTATCTCCGTATGATGAAAATTTGAGAAGGGAGACAATTCTAGATCACGCAGTGCAATAATGAAATAAGTTGACAGCCAATGACCTGTAATGGTGTAAAGCTGTAGTTTCCATGTTGATGATAATGTCCTGAGTTAGTTGTTATATAGATTTGCGTACGGTCCACCTTGACCCCGTGTGGGGTACGGAGATTTCTCCTGGCATCGTGCCATCTCGTAAACGACGTCATCGGTCATAGACATTGGAGGGTCTCGTCGCAGATAGTGGATCAGAAGGGAGAGGAAAATAATGGTTAAAAACTGCAAGAAAAATAAAATGACTGATAAATACTGATACAAGAAGCAGACAGGGGTTGCAGTTACACAACCTTCAATACAAAGTTTACAACTGTAGCAACTTTAAAGTTTTCTTTTATTGATTCATAAATTTCATTATACATTTGTATAGATGATATGGTTTTATGTTTCTTTTAAATCTTTATTATAAAATACACACTGGAGTACTGTAATTATTGAAGTGGAGAATTTGGGGTTACAGTGTTCTAATTGTTGATTCCTTCGTGTAATACTTACCACAACTGATACTATAGATATGCCCACTGCACATATAATGAAGAACTGTTCCTTAAGAAAATCCACAATGGCTTTACCACAACCCTGAAAATATACATAGCCAATTATTAAAATCATAAGACCATACACAGGTAAGTAAATTTTTAATCATGGATTTAATGAATTAGCAGTAGTACAATGTGACCTTGTGTGGTGATACAACAACATGACTTTGTGTGGTGATACTACAACATGACCTTGTGTGGTGATACTACAACATGACCTTGTGTGGTGATACTACAACATGACCTTGTGTGGTGATACTACAACATGACCTTGTGTGGTGATGTGTGGTGATACTACAACATGACCTTGTGTGGTGATACTACAACATGACCTTGTGTGGTGATACTACAACATGACCTTGTGTGGTGATGTGTGGTGATACTACAACATGACCTTGTGTGGTGATACTACAACATGACCTTGTGTGGTGATACTACAACATGACCTCGTGTGGTGATACTACAACATGACCTCGTGTGGTGATACTACAACATGACCTCGTGTGGTGATACTACAACATGACCTCGTGTGGTGATGTGTGGTGATACTACAACATGACCTTGTTTGGTGGCACTACAACATAACCTTGTGTGGTGATACTACAACATCACCTTGTGTGGTGATGTGTGGTGATGTGTGGTGATACTACAACATGACCTCGTGTGGTGATACTACAACATGACCTCGTGTGGTGATACTACAACATGACCTTGTGTGGTGATACTACAACATGACCTTGTATGGTGATGTGTGGTGATACTACAACATGACCTTGTGTGGTGATACTACAACATGACCTTGTGTGGTGATTATCCTATATGGTGAATCCTATCATGGTTTCAAGCTCTGTTGATTTACATTCTAAACATTATAGTACACATCTGCTTGTTTACTATGTGATTGTCTTGAGCTTGTTGTATGACTGGCATAACCTTTCCTTCTGTAAATCTTAGCTACAAGACTAATATAAACTCTCCTTGATGTCTATCTTGTCTGTAGGTTCATAACACAACTAGTACAAACTCACTTTTTTGTTAATCTCCTCAGTTGGATCGTTACGCTGATTAGAGTGGTCACTGCTCTTGTACATGTTGCAGTACTTGCTGTCTGGTGATGTGGAGGCCTTTATGTACCAGTAACTGCTACAGCAGCTCAGCGGAGCTGTGTTCTTACTGTTAGCCTCCACATTAGCATCTGTGTTACCGATGACAGTGGCCCAGTCTGATCCTTTGTAGTCCTCAAAGTTCACACCACCACAGCAATGCAGCTGTAAAGAAAACAATATCATATTGTGTATCATTGGACTTATATATGAAATTCAGTTTCAATAATTATGGAATATTTCATCAATTTTAAAAGTAGGATTTGTTTTCTTTTCTTTAAAAAATACTTGACCTCTCTGACCTTGACTTTTTACCTGGTGAATCTGGTCATTAGTGATATGATTTTTTGGTTGCTTAAGTATCATACAAAATATCAATCAGTTTTGGAAGGGTTGCAAAATCTCAATCATTTAGAATGTTGGCTTAAATAACATCAGGTGAAATTCTGAGGCATGTGATAGCGTTTAATAGGAAACTGAGAAAGGGACAGGACTTCTGTTGACGTGGTTGCGTCCTTGGGCAAAACACTTTACTCTATTTGCTCTTTAATGGAATGTGATTGACCTCCCATTTGTTGTTCAGTGTGGTAAACAACTACAAGGAAACCCTGCCTGAAAATGACCCTGAATATTCATTGGGTGATCAACAATCAGCAGTTTTGAATTTTTTTAAAAAAATGACACGTAAATTTTATTTTGACATTGGTGCCAGCCTTGACATTTATTTTGAAGACAATGACTTTCTTGTTGTTTTGAAACTTTAAACTTAAAGTAAGACTTGGGAATGCTGATTATTTTAGACACTCTGCTTCCTTACTTCTATGCATCAAGGTTTGCTAAGCGAGGACAAGCAACATTTCACACACGGAAAGAAAGAACCAATTATCCCTTTTCTCAAATTTGTTTTTGTAAACTTGATTTTTGTGTAGATTTCTCTCAAATTTGTTTTTGTAAACTTGATTTTTGTGTGGATTTCTCTCAAATTTGTTTTTGTGTAAGATAAAAAAAAACCTCTTGATTTCAGTGGGCATCATGCAGACACAATATAGGTCTGCTGCTGTCAGAACATCTTATTGCAGACTGATGTAAAGTGTTCGATAACAGCCTGTGGTTTAATGGATCTTACAGGTAATTTTTATCAAGAGATTTGAAAACGTGTTAATGCCACAAGGAAACAAAAGAACTATTTCAACATATCAAACTCTATCTTCTGCATTGTTTACAAATTACGGGGATAGTCTCCTTTATGCCAGTAATGAGTCTGGCTAGGGAGATGGTCAATGTAACAAAGCCCTAGACTGACCGATCTATCACTGACCACAGGGAATGGTGGATTATTGGTGTTTATAGCATCATCACTCCAGGAATTTCTGACCATTGATTTACATAGGGATGACTGACCACCATATGTGATACTTTTCTTATAGCTGTCACAATATACAAGCAACACTGTAAAGGCTGTATTTTTTCTCAACATGCTGCACTTTTTGTGGTTTTACCAAAAACTTAAAAGCTGAAGGGATGTATTTTTCACAGACGACATGAAATGGTCTTCCTCTATTAATTCCATTTTTCAAGCTATCAGTTTTTCATCAATTAATTCCATTCCCGAAAACAGCAAAAATAAAACCCCGGCATTTTCATTAAATAAAAATCTTTTTGTTTCGCAACATTTGATTCACATCAACATGAAATTTGTTTTAACACAATGATAGTATCTGAAAATTATAGATAAAGCTGTAGAGCTTATAGCATCAAATTATGGAAGATTATAACAAGGAAATAATTAGGTTAATAATGAAATCAGACACAATAATCATAATATGTTGTTATAAATATGGATTAAGTCATGCATGAAACATGGACAATGCAGGGTTTGTTTTAAAACAGATTAGATATATCAACAACACAAAATATAATGCTCAGGATTATATGGACTGAAAGTAGGGTGTTTACTGTATTATAGGGGCTGGAAGTACTGAGTATGATTTCGTATAGTGGAGTAGAGGATTAAATACTGTCTTATTATACAGACTGGGAGTAGAAGGTATACTGTCCTAGTGGGAGTAGGGATGTTTAATGTCTTATAAGGGCTGGAAGAAGAGAATATATTCTCTTATAAGGATCAGGAGTAGGGGTACATACTGCCTTAGTGTAGAAGGGAGAAGAGGATACACTGCCCTATAAGGACTAGAGTAGGGGTACATACTGCCTTATTGGAGCAGGGAGTAGAGGATACACTGCCCTATAAGGACTAGAGTAGGGGTACATACTGCCTTATTGGAGCAGGGTGTTTTGGTTACACTGCCCTATAAGGACTAGAGTAGGGGTACATACTGCCTTATTGGAGCAGGGAGTAGAGGATACACTGCCCTATAAGGACTAGAGTAGGGGTACATACTGCCTTATTGGAGCAGGGAGTAGAGGATACACTGCCCTATAAGGACTTGGAGTAGGGGTACATACTGCCTTATTGCAGCAGGGAGTATAGGATACACTGCCCTATAAGGACCGGGAGCAGGGGTACATACTGCCTTATTGTAGCAGGGAGTAGAGGATACACTGCCTCATAAGGACTAGGGGTAGAAAGTTTTCTACATTATAGGGGCTAGGGATAGGATGATTACTTTAGGAGTGCTACATACAAGACATAGTATGGGTAATAGGTGTGCCTACCTCAACCTGCATGTAGTCTATTGCGCTGGTGATGACATTGTCCTTTCCATACTGGGTTTTCACTACAGTTGTCAATAACTGAGATTTCTGTATCGTATCTTCCAACTGTTGTCATTGAAAGTCAAACCATAATTTAGTTCACAAAGCACATATTGATATTTTTTCATTGGTATATATAAAGAGCAATTTTCACTTGTATCAAATCCAAGTAATAGAATTGGACAAACTTCAAATAATAACTTTAACAGTATTTTTTTTATTTATTTCATAAAGTCTTCTCTTAGAAGAAATGTAATTGCATGGTAGCCCAAGAAATTGATGTTGGACGTAACAATCTTATAATTTTTTAACTTACCTCTACTCTGTAAAAGTAGCCCAATACAACACTGACTACCAGCAGCAAAAATAACAGCACGGAAAAGATTAGAAACTGAAACAGACAAAACAAAACATTTCAGTAAATGCGCAGCAATTTCCTCAAAGGTTATGTTTAACAAAATCAAGGAACTGTAAAGGTTGAGTAAACAATATATTTTTTGACTGATCTGGAATCTTAGATTGTCAGCTCAAACCCAGGTCATTGTAATGTAATTTTTGTAGGATAGACAGAGGATTTACTCCAAAACAGTTAACAACAATGTATTATGAATCTGGTTTTATTACACAGATTTGGTACTGTAAGCAGCACACCAATAAATTATAGAGAATTTGATTTCATGAATAAAAGATTCCCTGAGGGATGAATATAATACTTTCAGAAACCTCAGCATTTCTCCTAAAATATGGATTATGCTGATTCTCAATTGATGTGTGTCTGATATTTCATACATTACAGTATTTATTCATTGATAAGCCCAAGCAGATGCTTAGCAATAAGCCCAATCTTCACTTTTACATGAATATCTTCAATTGCATACAAACAACATACCAGTGGTGGAAATTTAGTTTCAAGTGGACACATGCTATAGATTTAGATATATAGTTAAGTATATTTATTATCATTTTCAAAACCTTTTCTTTTTGTTTTCGTAAAAATAAGACCAAACATTCCAAATAAATAATTGATAAATGTAATTGACTTATCAAGAGAGCATTCCTGAGAAAATTCAATAATGGTTTAAAAAAACTGTTGAGTTTCTGTTCCTGTAACAAATTTCCAAATTTACATTACTACTCATTATACACTTTTCTGTTTAACTCCTGATCAGAGAGGAAATGAACTCAATAGCTATTAACTTTGTAGAAGTCTGCCAAACTAAAAAAACCACAAATACATGGCTACACAATGGATCTGTAATGAGATTTGGAGAGTCACCAGCTCTTCCTGGAATAGTACCCAATTCAAATGCATGCTTCTTCCTAATTTGATCTGGTACATAATCCTAGTGAATTGGAGGCTAGACAAAGATTGATATTGTACCTGTAGTATTAAAAGATTGTTTCTATGTCCTATATATTCAGGCAATATCCTGGGTGTTTGGTTTTACTGTATAGTATTAAGTTAACAAGGATTATCAACTGAAGGCAGTGAGACTTTGATGTCCATATCTCATGTCTGTCCCTCATCAATGCTTATCTATTTATCATATTGTGTGATCATCAAACATTAACATGCTCCATCGTTTGAATTGTCCAATTACAACATTTGTTTATGTCCTCACTCTAAATTGGTTGATTCTGAGATTTAGTCTACAGATGATTCAAACTAAATTTCTCCTGGTCTATTCCTAACACAAAGAATTAAAGAGTACGGTAAGTGTTTACATACATTCAAGTTTGTTTAATACTAAATGATACTGTCAAAGCATCATGCCAATTTTATTTTAAAAACCTATTTTCTGTTTGCTTCTATGAGAGAAAAGCGGATTTTATTCAAAACAAGAACCAGTCAGGTCATCTTGGATTTTGGAAACATGGGTATTGATTGAAATTGTTTACAGCATGCATGTAATTTACAGTACAGCATCTAATCAGGGGTCAATTTTGTCCATCTGAAACTTTAAACCATCTTTCATGAAATTTTCAGAATTTTGGCAGAAATTCAATAGCAATACCATATTTTGTTGATTATAAGCTGCACCTTTCTTCCTTTTGAGTCAGACTTCTATACTGGTGCGGCTTATATGTGGACAAAAAAAACAAATCAGTGTACCAGAAGGAGATGGTACTTAGTATTTTTACAAGTACCTGACCGTCATGTGTTTGTGACTGAAACAAATCATCCAGAACCATCATTTGCAATCGTATACAGAATGATTTGCAGATTAAAATGAAAATAACATTCTCGAAGATTTGATAAATGATATCTTTTAATATGAATCATAATAATAACTTGTGAACTTTCGTGGTTACTTCTAAGCCATAGCAGGAGTTAACAATAGCCTTTTGCATCCTGGGATCGATAGGTCATCAGGTTATTCGTAAAGTTCTAGAACAACTACCATGCGTGTTTACGATATGAATGGCTTCGTGTAATTTACGGAAAAATATAATATTGGACTACAAGAATTTGATAAGCATTCTAGGGATTTTGTTAATATTTACCAGTACAGACACCTATGGAGAGATTGTAAACCATACGTAATGTCAGGCCTATATCTTTCTGTAGACAATCTGTGAAGGCACCCAGGCCAAATAAGTTTGATATTTGCTATTTTACGTTTTTTTTAACTATATCAATAAAATAAACGATTATCTGTGTATAATTCATTTGCAAACTTTATAAAATGTGTCGCTGGCGATCTTGACAAATTGCTCTCTGTTGTCTGTTATATCAATGAACTTTGGTCAACGTAACGGTTACGTCATCCTAACAAAGGGTGGGACTTATATTTCGATGCGGTTGATATGTGGATCAAATAAAAAAATATAGGTAAAAATCGGCTCTGCGGCATTTATACCAGTGCAGCTTATAACTCCCAAAATATGGTGTAGACTTTACACATGACCTAATAAACAATTGACAGCACAAATAGGCATCACCACACATTGATTTCTACTGATGAAGTGATACTGAAATTTCATAATCAATTTATTGAATACAAAACCAATGGACTATTTATAACTGATCATCAAAACAAAACTATTTCTAAATATGACCTGTCCCGGTTCTTGACCTTTGGCAATCTTTTGTGTCGTTTTGTTTGTTACTTATTTTGTTTTGCTTCTTTTTTTTTTTTGCTTTATAAACTGAAAACATGTTGACTATTTATCAATTAAAGATACAGTATGTGGGTAACAGGAATCCAGTCCCTGGTGAGAGAGATTTGATCTTTTACCAGTAAGAACAGGAAAGATCCAACAGAATAGAGCAGATCATGTTAATTACATTATTGATTTTCCTGGAGGATTTATTTTCATTAATTTATGTTTACTCTGTAAATGTCCACAAAATGATACTAAGGTAAAAATTGGAAGGAAAATAAGCACAAATGACTTTAGTATAAATAAATATTTTTGTAAAACTACAATAGTTGAGCCCCACAATAATATATCATAAAACAGCCTTTAATCAAACAAATTTAATTAATTTATTCTATTTATCATTAAATTTATCATAAATTTGTATTACAGGCTATCTGGTCTCTTCTAATGACTGACAATAAGAATCTTACTCGATCACATCTAACCAAGTTATCCTCTAACCTACCTTGGTACCTGGTAAAGATGTAACCTACCTGATAAAGATGTAACCTACCTGGTAAAGATGTAACCTACCTGATAAAGATGTAACCTACCTGGTATAGATGTAACCTACCTGGTAAAGATGTAATCTACCTGGTAAAGATGTAACCTACCTGGTAAAGATGTAATCTACCTGGTAAAGATGTAACCTACCTGGTATAGATGTAACCTACCTGGTAAAGATGAAACCTACCTGGTATAGATGTAATCTACCTGGTAAAGATGTAACCTACCTGGTAAAGATGTAACCTTCCTAGTAAAGATGTAACCTACCTTGTAAAGATGTAATCTACCTGGTAAAGATGTAACCTACCTGGTAAAGATGTAATCTACCTGGTAAAGATGTAACCTACCTGGTATAGATGTAACCTACCTGGTAAAGATGAAACCTACCTGGTATAGATGTAATCTACCTGGTAAAGATGTAACCTACCTGGTAAAGATGTAACCTTCCTAGTAAAGATGTAACCTACCTGGTAAAGATGTAATCTACCTGGTAAAGATGTAACCTACCCGGTAAAGATGTAACCTACCTGGTAAAGATGTAACCTTCCTAGTAAAGATGTAACCTACCTGGTAAAGATGTAATCTACCTGGTAAAGATGTAACCTTCCTAGTAAAGATGTAACCTACCTGGTAAAGATGTAACCTACCTGGTAAAGATGTAACCTACCTTGTAAAGATGTAATCTACCTGGTAAAGATGTAACCTTCCTAGTAAAGATGTAACCTACCTGGTAAAGGTGTAACCTACCTGGTAAAGATGTAACCTACCTAGTGTAGATGTAATCTACCTGGTAAAGATGTAACCTACCTGGTAAAGATATAACCTACCTGGTAAAGATGTAACCTTCCTAGTAAAGATGTAACCTACCTGGTAAAGATGTAACCTACCTTGTAAAGATGTAATCTACCTGGTAAAGATGTAACCTTCCTAGTAAAGATGTAACCTACCTGGTAAAGGTGTAACCTACCTGGTAAAGATGTAACCTACCTAGTGTAGATGTAATCTACCTGGTAAAGATGTAACCTACCTGATAAAGATGTAACCTATCTGGTAAAGATGTAATCTACCTGGTAAAGATGTAACCTACCTGGTAAAGATGTAACCTACCTTGTAAAGATGTAACCTTCCTGGTAAAGATGTAACCTACCTGGTAAAGGTGTAACCTACCTGGTAAAGATGTAACCTACCTGGTATAGATGTAATCTACCTGGTAAAGATGTAACCTGCCTGGTAAAGATGTAACCTACCTGGTAAAGATGTAACCTACCTGGTAAAGGTGTATAGGGATGTTTTTGTTATTCAGACAAGAGGTATGTTGTATAGGTGTTAAGCTTGATATAGATGTATCTATTTCTAAAGACTTACAGAACCATACACAACACAAATATTTTACTATTCTACCTAGACCATATATACTTCTTCTCTGTTTTAGACTGACGAAAAGAGAAATTAAAGTAATGGACTGTGTACAAATTTGCATCCAGGACCTACAACCTTATGGACAATACATTAAGCCTTCTTGCTACCAACTAAGCTGCTCTTTCCCATATAGTCACACTGTCAAATTCGAAAAAAGTATCTTATACAGTTTTGTAACCCTATAAATTATATTAGACTAACCTCATTCAAAAAGATGAAGAATCTATTGAGATCCTGAGGGGGTAGAATAAAATCAGTTTATTGATTTTGCACTGTTACGTTTTTATTGTAGATACTATTCTGTGTGTAGTGCTACCTGAAGCACTGAGTGTGGCTTATGCTTTCTGAGAGGAGGTAGTTCATGTAACAGTCACACTAATTGTGATGTATGTTATACGAAATGATTGATTATCAGCTATTCTGAATCCAAACTTCCATTTGCAATCTTTTTCTCCTATACAGTACATATCAGGTGCTAGCACAACAAAACCACAGCTGTCTGACATACAAATACAACACAGTATACTGCCTTTTAATTCCAGAGGAGGCAAAAAAACCTTACAAACTGACATTAGGCAATCTCAATTGAGAATCTGTCAACATCTGTCATGTACCATATTTACCTAACAAGCCCATCCATGTGTATTGCTGTTTTGTCAAATTATAAACCATTGTCTCCCAATAAACCAAGGTATTAAATTGTATTTCATTATCCTACAATAAGCCTAACAGGACATGAATTATGAAGTAAAACATTAGCCCTTCCTCTCCCCGGGCTTATGTTTATGGCCATGTCTATTGTGCAATAAGCCAAATCAGTGGGTAGGCTCTTTTCAGGACTATGAAATAACAAGACAAACTTGTATTTCTGCTGTCTTCCTTGAAACTCCAAGGATTACAATATTTTTCACTCTCAGCACCCCATTTGCGACACAATGTGGACAAGATGACAAGACTAGTTTGATCCTTAGATGTACATCAAACGAATCTTGAGGTCATGTAACAGTACATTGTAATGGATTTGAAGTTGGATGTCACTCCTCTGTAATCTTCAAAAGGAGTGCATCAGTCTATGATTGGTCAGTTTTTTCTCCTGCAACCAATCAAATTAATTCATTTGTGCCTTCAATTTTGCCACATGTTCCAGGGGTGCACAGAACAAAAGTGATCTAATTCTCCAGAGTATCAAGGATGATCTGCTTTATACTCACCACAACAAGACACACAATATTTGGTTTGACAGCACCTATCATGCCAATCACCCCAAACAAGAGGATGAAGCTGCCCCCCGCGATGAACAGGTACACATAGATACGATAATCCTGAAGTTCGACTGCAGCTTGTACATACTGTTTAATCCAAATGTCCAACAAAAACCACAGAGAAAAGCCTAGGATGGCTGCTCCTATCAGCTGTAATATACAAAACATAAAATCTTATAAAATATCAGTCTCAGCAGCTAAACATGACAACATAAAGACATTTCTTCAGAGCTTATCAGTAAACAGTATAAAAGTAATCACCATATTTTCTGGACTATATGTTTTTAACTCGGCAGTCTGGCGTGTGGCCTATATACCAGACAGCTATGTACCAAAAAATAAATCAGTGGAATAAATAGAAAAATAAAAAAAGAACAGCGTCATTTGGACATCGCTTCCGGACCATTAGGTAATTTGGAACGGCCATTTTGTCAAATCAAATTCTAGAACGCCATGCTTGTTTACAATAAGAATGGCTTCCTATAACTTAAAAGAAATAATATGGGACTATAAGAATCTTATCAGCATGCAAGAGCCTTCGCTAATATTCAACAGTAAAGACACAGATTGGGATATTGTTAAGTAAACCGTGCGTAATGTCAAGCCCTGAACGAAGATGACCAGTGAAGGCACCCAAGCCAAACAAGTTCCATAATTGCTATTTTACATTTTTCAAACACATCTATAAAATAAAGAACTATCTGTGTATAATTACTTTGCAAACTTATATCATTATATTATATTACTATATTCTGTTGTCTGTTATATCAATGAACTTTGGTCAACATAATGGTTACCCATCGTAAGATGGGTGTGGCTTAAATTGCAGTGCGTCTTATAATATGTAGATCAAATTGAATAAAAATCACTAAAAACCAGCCCTGCGGTTATACTCAGGTGCAGTTTATAGCCTGGAAAATATGGTATTTCTTCAAAACCAGTCATTAACTAGAAGAATATACTTATATTTGTATTGACAGTATTGGAAATGTAATGTTCTACTGTCTGACTGACTAGGTAGCCTTCAGCTGATGGCTGAAATCTGCTGACACACAACTTCTATAACAGTGCCCATAGCTAGTAAGATTCCACATTTTGATAAAAATGTTCTCTGTGGACCAATATGCTAATACATACAGCTGAAACAAAGCAAGTCTGATCTGAGACAATTGAGTTAGGCCCCACCTCAACAGTGGGTCATAAATGAATTAGCTCAGACAGGCAGTCATTTCTGCCTAACTGTATCTTATGTACACGATAGATACAATATATACCACCACAACCTTGACTATGAACTCCGGATATGTCAGTTCCTGGTCACAAAAATATTGCCGTATTGAGCAACATACTGGAAGTCCACCACATACTTTCCTGAGTTACTGGAGTTAAATGTCTTGTCCAAGGACACAACCAGAGCTATTGGAGGTAAATGTCTTGTCCAAGGACACAACTAGAGCTATTGGAGTTAAATGTCTTGTCCAAGGACACAACCAGAGCTATTGGAGGTAAATGTCTTGTCCAAGGACACAACTAGAGCTATTGGAGGTAAATGTCTTGTCCAAGGACACAACCAGAGCTATTGGAGGTAAATGTCTTGTCCATGGACACACCCAGACATATTGGAATTAAATGTTTTGACAAGGACACAACCAGAGCTATTGGAGGTAAATGTCTTGACCAAGATCACAACCAGAGCTATTGGAGGTAAATGTCTTGTCCATGGACACAACCAGACCTATTGGAATTAAATGTTTTGACAAGGACACAAACAGAGCTATTGGAGGTAAATGTCTTGTCCAAGGACACAACCAGAGCTATTGGAGGTAAATGTCTTGACCAAGGACACAACCAGAGCTATTGGAGGTAAATGTCTTGTCCAAGGACACAACCAGATCTATTGGAGGTAAATGTCTTGTCCAAGGACACAACCAGAGCTATTGGAGGTAAATGTCTTGACCAAGGACACAACCAGAGCTATTGGAGGTAAATGTCTTGACCAAGGACACAACCAGAGCTATTGGAGGTAAATGTCTTGACAAGGACACAACCAGATCTATTGGAGGTAAATGTCTTGTCCAAGGACACAACCAGAGCTATTGGAGGTAAATGTCTGGTCCAAGGACACAACCAGAGCTATTGGAGGTAAATGTCTTGACAAGGACACAACCAGAGCTATTGGAGGTAAATGTCTGGTCCATGGACACAACCAGACCTATTGGAGGTAAATGTCTTGTCCAAGGACACAACCAGAGCTATTGGAGGTAAATGTCTTGACAAGGACACAACCAGATCTATTGGAGGTAAATGTCTTGACCAAGGACACAACCAGAGCTATTGGAGGTAAATGTCTTGACCAAGGACACAACCAGAGCTATTGGAGGTAAATGTCTTGACAAGGACACAACCAGATCTATTGGAGGTAAATGTCTTGTCCAAGGACACAACCAGAGCTATTGGAGGTAAATGTCTGGTCCAAGGACACAACCAGAGCTATTGGAGTTAAATGTCTTGTCCAAGGACACAACCAGATCTATTGGAATTAAATGTCTTGACAAGGACACAACCAGAGCTATTTGAGTGAAATGTCTGGTCTAAGGACACCACCACAACTGCACAGAGTAGTGATATGTTTCCTTGGAAACAGAAACTGCTGGAAATAGGGATTGGCTGCTTGTCTAGGTTGCATTATCTGATGCTTTACCAACAAAGCTATCACAGTTTTCACCTGTATGACCAGCAGAAAATATTCTCCAGAATATCACTGTTGTTCTGACGTATAACCTAAAATACCTTGAATATCAACACAGCTTCTATTATAGCAAACATAAACATTCCTCACAATAAAATTAGGGTGATTTCAATTTTTGCACAATAAAAAGAGAAATAAAAGGTTGTACAAAGGTAAAGAATATTCATGAATATTCATTAACAAAAGAGAGTGATCATCACATGTACAATGAGAATATTGATTGGCCGTTCATCATATCTATTATAGCAGTGCTAACAGGTGAACCACATCGTGTGGGGTTCTCAATACAATACAGGTACTTGTACTTAGATTGTCATTAATATACATGGTAATCCATGTGTATCACACCAAGGCTACAACAATAGCACCGGATTACAGGACACACAATGGCTCCTGATTGCAGGACACACAATGGCTCCTGATTACAGGACACACAATGGCTCCGGATTACAGGACACACAATGGCTCCTGATTACAGGACACACAATGGCTCCGGATTACAGGACACACAATGACTCCTGATTACAGGACACACAATGGCTCCGGATTACAGGACACACAATGACTCCTGATTACAGGACACACAATGGCTCCGGATTACAGGACACACAATGACTCCTGATTACAGGACACACAATGGCTCCGGATTACAGGACACACAATGGCTCCTGATTACAGGACACACAATGACTCCTGATTACAGGACACACAATGGCTCCGGATTACAGGACACACAATGGCTCCTGATTACAGGACACACAATGGCTCCGGATTACAGGACACACAATGGCTCTGGATTACAGGACACACAATGGCTCCGGATTACAGGACACACAATGGCTCCGGATTACAGGACACACAATGGCTCCTGATTACAGGACACACAATGGCTCCGGATTACAGGACACACAATGGCTCCGGATTACAGGACTTGATGTTGCTGTATAGCTCCATCGACACTTCCATCAAGTGAGCTGGTTTATAACTTATATTGACTGAACTAATGGATTAATCTTGTCAAATTCTCTCACTCTGGTGCAGGTTTTCCTTGAACTGATTGTAGCCCATGCAGTAACAGCACTTACAAGGAAATCTTACAGAGAGCTATATTAGTATTCTAGGGCTAAAATAAAAATATCAATATTTTTTCTCTGAATTTTCAGAGACTGTAATATAAGCTACTGGATTCATAATATAGAAACAAGACCATTTCCTACTATAATTTGAAACAGATTTCCACTTGAAAATTGAAATTTAAGACATTATTAGAATATCTATTAATATCTAATACTGAAATAATTGAAAGTTGAAATATCAGTTAAACAACTGATAATAATTGCTAAAATCAATCAATATTCCATATTGCAATACCATGTAAATTTTGTCATGGATGATGCATCAGAATATAAGGTCCCATCCCTGGCTTAGTTTTGAATTCCACTAGGTGATATCTAGTATGTAATATTATTGCATGGAATATCCTAGCAGGTGATATCTAGTATGTAAAATTATTGCATAGAATATGTTTTATCCTTTGTCTTCATATGTAGAGACAGAATATTAACAAGTCTCATATATAGAGACAGAACATTAACAGGTCTCATATAGAGAGACAGAACCCTAACAGGTCTCATATATAGAGACAGAACCCTAACAGGTCTCATATATAGAGACAGAACCCTAACAGATCTCATATATAGAGACAGAACCCTAACAGGTCTCATATATAGAGACAGAACCCTAACAGGTCTCATATATAGAGACAGAACCCTAACAGGTCTCATATAGAGAGGCAGCTTTATTTCTACATGAAATTTAAGGCTCATTTTTTCCAATTTCAACGCAAATTTGAAGAAGTTAAAATTTGGTGTACGCATGTTTTTTTCTTTAATGGTAAAAATCTCATAAGGTTCTGAAGATAAATGAAAAAACTAATTTGTAAATGAAAGTATGTGCTGCTAGAATTAGCGTAATTATCTAAAACTGATTTACCTACAACATAGATGTGCTGCTAGAATTAGTGTAATTATCTAAAACTGATTTACCTACAACATAGATGTGCTGCTAGAATTAGTGTAATTATCTAAACTGATTTACCTACAACATAGATGTGCTGCTAGAATTAGCGTAATTTTCTAAAACTGATTTACCTACAACATAGATGTGCTGCTAGAATTAGTGTAATTATATAAACTGATTTACCTACAACATAGATGTGCTGCTAGAATTAGTGTAATTATCTAAAACTGATTTATACAACATAGAGTGCAGCTTTAATTTCTAAAACTGATTTACCTACAATTTAGATGTGCTGCTAGAATTAGTGTAATTATCTAAAACTGATTTACCTACAACATAGATGTGCTGCTAGAATTAGTGTTTATATAAACTGATTTCTACA